CAAAAAATTTCCTCTTCATAGAGAGGTTTAACGCACTGATGTTTCTTTTGAGCCCACAAGATTTCTACAAATAATTTTTAGTACATGTTCAAATTTTCGCTACAGTGTTGTCATAACTTCTTGTCCAGAGGCGTTCGGCAGTTAATAAAAAAAGGCATATTTGGCACATATGTTCGATGCCCTTCTAAAAAGTATGCGTCTCTTTTGGGAAGATTACTTCGACTAAGAATCCTTTGTCAGGGAAGATTTCTTTGGTGATCATTAGAGCCTGTTCACGCTTGAGGTATTCTGCTCAGGACTTGCTTTGGTGATCGAGAAATGTATGTTGCAGGTCACATGGAAAGGTGTTCCAAAATGAAATATATCTCCCAGATAAAGTCCATTCATTTTCAGGGCACGGCACATGTGGCTTGGCAAGCAAGCTGGATGTCGTTTTTGGGGAAAAAGCAAAGGGGATATCGTTTTTGCGGTAGAGCATAACGTTGTCTTTCGGTCTGCGGCGGGCACGCTGCCGGCATGCCGCTAGCAAATAAACAAAAGGTTTGTTTACAGCGAAGTAAAGATGAAATGATACCAAAATCGGTGTGTAGATGGGCAATGGGGAGTTAGGACTAAGTATGAAAAATTATGAAAAAATTATTTGAACTAAAGGCGTGCTCAACTTTTTTCGGAGTTAGGTGGCTTTCAAGCCACCTGGATAGCCACCTGAGGTGGCTTAGGAAAGAAAAAGTCATAAATTTTTCCTCCCTCACATAGTTTTTCTACTTTCTTTATAATACTTTTCATCTACATCCCAAACCCTACAAACTGGTTCCTAAACCGCCTCAAACCCCCTTCTCCCCGCTTAGTTATAGTTGAAAATTTTGAATGGCCGCGGAAAGGCTGCTCTAGGCGCGTATTGCTGCATGATGGATACATCATGCCGCCATTCCGAAGAATGTGAATATCATCGCGTGTGTTCGATAATTCTTTTTCGTTTTTTTTTCTGCTGTTGCTTTGTTCCGTTCCTTCTCATGTGTTTTCTCTTCGAATATCTCGTGGCGGATGTAGTAATTTTATTTAAGTCAAAGGGGACTTCATTTTTTGCAATTTCGGGACACCACCTTGTGTCGAGCCCTGGTTTAGGGTCAAAGGGGACTTCGTAAAAATTTGCAAAAGTCAAGGGGGACTTCGTTTTTTGCATTTTCAACTAGCCACAGGGCTCGGCACGAGCTGGCACCAGGGAATTTTCAAAACGAAGTCCCGTTTGATATTGAAAATTTCGTACGAAGTCCCTTTTGACCAGTTTTGAAAACCCGTCATCATTTTTATATTATGTAAAAAATGTGGTAGTGTTCATTTCTGATTCATAAAAGAACTTTTCACAACTTTTTGAGCTTTAGTGGTCGAATCACATATTGAGAAGCAGAAAAAGCCGATTTTTCGACTGCGGAGCGGGCCAAGTGGTTTTCAAATTGCTATAAAACGCTGAAAAGAGAACATTATGAAATTGTTTGTTATCCGTATGTAATCTTTTACAGTGTAGATACATTTTATGTAAAAAAGTATGAAAACTTATGTGAGCAAAGTGTCGGTGCCAGCTCAGCTGGCACCCAGCTGGCACGGTGCCAGCTAATTCAGAAAAAAGTTGGGCACGGCTTTCATTCACGTAAGTTTTCATAGATTTTTGGCCCATAGTTCCGGTCCACCAACGCGCATGCACACACCAAATTTGGTGTCATACTATTGCGTTTTGGCTGAAAACAACGCCTTTGTTTGTTGATGGACAGCTTGCCAATGGCATGCCGGTGGCATGCCGGCGGCATTTTTGCGGCAGTTCTCCGCCTCGGCCCCTGTGGAAACGATATCCCCTTTGCTTTCCGCCCTAAAAACGATATCCAGCTTGACCCGGTGCCAGCTGTGCTGAGCCCTGACTAGCCACTTCGTGCCGAGCCCTGTCCATTTTAGAAACGTTGCTTTTGACTTTGAATCTGTCTTATTTGCTCTCCTTTGAGCCCCAAGTTGTGAAGGTGTTCATATCTGATTGCGTATTCAAACCAAAATGGAATAGTCTTGAACATTAAGGCATTTCAGGCGATAGATAGACTGACATATATACGCATGCTCATTACTGCTCTAATTGTGAGCAAAGGGTTCGTAAGGCCTCGGACAGGGTTCACGCGATTTGATCGTCGCGATTCAATAGCCACGGCCTCCAATCATTTTCATTTTACGTCCAAAAATTTCGGGTCGGAAAAGTATCACAACCGAAATGCAAGCTGCTCGGCATGCAATGAACTCGTAACAGTTGTCTTGTCGCGAGTGAATCGCGACGATCAAATCGCGTGAACTCTGCTCGAGGCCTAATATGGACTTTGTTTTTACATCTTTCATTTTTCCCTCAAAAAACACTTGTAGGCGCCTTGAGAAGCACAGCAGATACCGAAGACAAATCTGTATCAGCTTCAAAGCCTCTGCAAAATGGCTTACAGCTCTTTTGAAAGGGCCACTTTCACTCAACCTCTTCCCTTGTCACTTGACTTTTGCAACTCAGAACAGAACTGATAAGATGAACCAGTGTGATTTATGCTACCATTTTCCGACAAGAGCTGTCACATAGCTCCATTTCATTGCAAACTTAATTTATGAAGGATTGCATGTTTTCACAATCATTTCGTTGTAATACTCTTTCAAAATTTTAATAGTCTGGTTTATTTTTATTCCAATACCTAACTAGAGAGCACTGGTTGCGCGATACATAGTCAATGAAGTTGCAATTCATTCTCTTTTTCAAAACCGTTGCAGGACTTCTCTCATAAGTAAGCCGCACTTTTGGCTACAATACGTATAAACAGCGCTCAGGATGGTCTTTCAATTTTTAGATCGCTTCATTGTTGATCAATCGTAATTTTCGATTTAGGGAACTTATGCATTACTTCGTCCACTATCCCCAGCGCTCTGGTAATTGACATCGGTGACACCTCTGCCATGTAGAGTGTTACCTTTGCTCGGCGTACGAAAGAAACTGCGTAGCAAGAGTCCGAGCGCCTGCTGGAAGTTCAGCCAGCGCTCGCTGAAAGAAGTTATTTGAAGACCGCTCGCAGAAAATTCTATATTGCTTCCCGCTGGTAGAATATGCAACAGCAAACTCAAACAATCGCCGGGGGCAGGCGGGCACCGGAAAAATAGATGGCTGATTTCTAGCACCCCGCTCGCGAATTTTTGGAAAGCAATCAGAACTTTTCGGAAGACCACTTGCTGAGTTCTCGATTCCTCAGAGATTCAGCAATATATCTGCAAAAGATAAGAGCGAAAAAAATTCAACAGGTGGTCTCTTAAATATCCGCTGACTCAGCAAGCGGTCTTCCGAAAAGTCCTGATTGCTTTCCAAAAAATCCGCGAGCGGGGTGCGACAAATCAGCCATCTATTTTTCCGGTGCCCGCCTGCCCCCAGTGATTGTCTGAGAAGGAAGCACCGTTCCCTGAAGGTTTGGCACGCCCCGAAATTCCGCTGACCGCCCTCTTGTATACAAGAACTCAGATAATCGCCGGGGGCGGGCGGCCATGCGATTTATGGGCGGGCGGGCACCGGAAAAATGGTTCGCTGATTTCGCGCGGTCCGCTTGCAGATATTTGGAAGAATTTCAGCGAAATTTTAGACGAATGCTTGAAGAACGATCGCGGTTTCCTTATAGATTAGCTGCGGCGCAGTGGCCGCATTCTCGCGGACTTTCCGCGAGAATATGCAAAATTTTTGGGGGCCGCACGGTCTTTTTTGGAGGACCGCGCAGCCCCCAGGTACTTTCCGCTGAGAGAAAGTACCTCAAACTTGAGTAATTAAACCATCGATGGCACTTCTGCCATGTAGAGTCTCACTTTTATTCGGCGTACGCCCGAAACTGCTTAGAAACCGTTCGAGCGCCAGCTGAAAATTTGACCAGCGCTCGCTGAAAGAGATTATTTGACGAGCGCCTGCAGAAAATTCTGTGTTGCTGCCCGATGGCAGAACATTGAACAATAAAGGAAGTACCGCTCGCTGAAGGTTTGGCCACGCCCCAAAACTCTGCCGACCGCTTGCAGAAAAACGCGAGTTTGCGGACCGCCTGCCCCCGACGATTATCTGAGAAAACGCGAGTTTGCGGACCGCGTAAATAAACGCCGGGGGAGGCGGCCATGCGATCTATAGGCGGGCGTGCACCGGAAAAATAGTTCGCTGATTTCTTGCGGTCCGCTTGCAGATATTTGGAAGAATATTAGCGGAATTTTGGGGGAATGCTTGGAGAACATTTGCGGTTTCCTTACAGATTAGTTACGGCGCATTGGCCACATTCTCGCGGACTTTCCGCGAGAATTTCAAAAATTTCGAGGGCCACACGGTCCGTTGTGGAGGACCGCGCAGCCCCCAGGTACTTTCCGCTGAAAGAAAGTACCTCAAACTTGAGTAATCAAAGCAACGGTGACACCTCTGCCACACAGAGTCTTACCTGTTGACGTAAGCTCGAAACTGCGTAAAAAGAGTCCGAGCGCCTGCTGAAAGTTCGGCCAGCGTTTGCTGAAAGAGATTATTTGACGAGCGCCTGCAGAAAATACTGTGTTGCTGCCCGCTGGCAGAACATTAGACAGTAAAGGAAGTACCGCTCGCTGAAGGTTTGGCCACGCCCCAAAATTCTGTTGACCGCTTGCAGAAAGGTGCGAGTTTGCGGACCGCCTGCCCCCGGCGATTATCTGAGCGCTTGCCCCCGGCGATTGTCTGAGCTGTGAAGGGGAGTCAGCAACTTACACATTGTTACATTTGCTTTATTTGTTTCATTACATATATTTTGGCGACTCAAAAAATTGTGAAAGATTCCTAGCTTTGTCTGCAATTTTAACGTGCTAGACAACCTGTGCTTCATGCTCAATAAAATCAAGCATTATTTTGTATTTTTGCCGTAGCACTCCGGTATACCGTGTCTTCTCTGATAAATTCTCTACTTTTTACTGTTTAAAATCAGCAGAAACTATATAAAGACTTCCATAATTTGAGGTTTCGCCTTTGACAATGGTTACTTCCGAACTGCTAGCTTTGTTTACAATTTTAACGTGCGAGGTTATCTACGTGAACGCAGATTGGTATGAAATCCCGGTTTGTTCACGTTTGTCTCTTACAAATATTTGTATCACTCGAGTGATACAAATACACGTCTACACAATACACGTCTTGACATTCTATGCATAGATCTATGCATAAAATGTCAAGACGTGTACCGTCTGCGCCCCAGAGAGGTTCCCATTTGAACCAGCGTGCGTACGTGGTGCGACGCTGTCTTTCGCTCATTTTGACATGTTTCTCTTAAGATTTCGACGGAAGTGCCCTAGGTTAACATGTTCAGAAGTGCGAAAGGCAGCGAGATGACGTGGTACCTATGGAAATCTTGCTGGGGAACATACGATAGCCTCTTGTCATCCAAAACTATACGCTAGGTTACCTTAGGTTGAAAAGCTAATGATGGATAATTTGTATTGTCAGCTGTTACCTGTACCTAATGGATATGCGCACACAATCTATATAGGAGGTCAAGAGTTTACTGTACTGGTGACCTTGCGCAATTCTATACTATGGATACCAAGCATCAACTGCACGTAAGTGATACTTATCGGTAATCCTAGTAGGACTGTGTACAGAAGATCGTGTATGAAGTATGAGAGCTACTTGAGGTGTCGTGCAGGAGGGACCGTAGATTCGCCCGCAGGAACGATTACTTTTGGATTGGAGCAGGAATCCTCCGTAGAGCACCTTATCCTTCCAACGCTGATTTTGAAGATGCGCTTACCAAATAACTCAATGTTGCGTCTTGCAACTCTACTACTGCAACTCTAATCTCCGTATCAAGCTTGCCGAGCCACTTTCTTCCGGCGTCCAGGCAAATATGGACAAATGGGTATCGCCAGCGGAAACTGATTTTGGGAAACCGCGCAGAGTTACAGCATAAGATGAGTTACTCAAGCTCTAGGTCTCCATTACTATCAGCATCAAGTACAAAATTCCTTACTAATGCGGTTTGAATTTGTACATAAAAATTTGCTTTTTCCTTTTTTCTTTAGTAGATATCATTCGATCTGGACAACCGTCTCCTTTCAGCTTCATTGAATGCCTTGACTACTGGGGAGTCTACCTATAAGCGAAATTCTTGCAAAAAAGGTGGCACTAGGAAACTACGATTGTACCAGCTTCTTAACATCGTAGTTTGTCTCTGATTGTGAATGTTGCGCCCTGATCAGCGGTTGATCGTCGTCTTCTTGCTGTGACTTCTCGAGAGCTGGCAAGATTTGTTCTTTTGTGCTTTTGTCAAAGTCTTTCAGCTCCGTAAAATTTGTACAGCCCTCTTCAAGAAGACATGAAGGCAAGAGAGTAATTAACGATCATACAGTGTGCACAGTATTTGGGATGCGCTGTAGATTTTTATCACCATACATCATGCTGCTTGGACCTGAAAGGCTAATTCAAGTATCAGATGCACAGAACTTTCTTCTTTTCACTGAAAATGTTTACCTTTGCATCATCCAGGCGAATTTGCCTTATACAAATATACATACAGATATACTTGAGAAAAAATCAGACTTATGGTAATCTCGGCGAGTTTCTACTACGGTACGGTCACAGAAATGTAAGCGGGGAAAAGACCACTGAACTTCATTTTTCAAAGCTCGCCAAGAATATAATTTTGCAAAATTTGAAATGCAGATGCTTAGGTTTTACGACTTAGTTTGTCGAAAATGTGCGCACCATTAACCGAAACCGTTTGCAATAAGAATTGCAAATGGCACTTTTAACAAACTTGAACCATGACTCCAGTTTTCATGTCAGCCCTTGCAGTGTTTCAGATTTACAAAAACATGATAAAACGTCAATAGACCACACCTAATTTTCGGCACTTGGCACAAAATTGTTTCCTGAATCAATACTCTTCTCAAATCTGAAAATCTGCATTGTAAATTATTGGATGACTTGAAATATGAGGATTGGAGCCATAATGCAAGTTTGTTGTATCAGATATGCCTTACACCAGAAGGAGAAAAGTTGATTCTATAACAGGCCTGAATGAAGTAAATCTGAAATACTACAAAGCAAATCATGGCAGAGCTTGACTGTGAAATGTCCTCCTTTTCGGAGCGATAAAGCGCTGCGATGTATTTTTTATTCCTCATGCTTTAGTGTTTGTGCATTGAATTGCGATGCCCTCATGAAATCAATCTTTGTTCCACGTTTATCTGGCAGAGAGTTGATAATGCACACAACTTGCACAAATTTGTTGCCAATTCAAATATTCTCAGATAGATTGCTGTTGCCAAGCATGACATTTGAAGAAGTCCGCTAAAATGACAGACGCGGCAAGAGCGTCTGCAAAATAAGTGTTAGCCGTAAAGTGGCAAACATTCCGATGGCTTTGTTTGTGTAGAACATCCGAGCGCAAAAACCTCGATGCAACCTCGTCACCGCCTTGTTATATGAAAACCGAATGAGACGGCACCATCAAGATGCAACTGGGTCAAAATGTTGACCGGGGCTGAGTTTGCTGTAAGCTACTTTTGACAATGACCTCTAGCCAGTTGCTCTTTCCACCTCTAGTAAACTTGACAATAAAGATTACAATAACTCTGATGCACTACACCTCACTTGAGAAACACTAGAACTTCAGACCTACAAGATGAACCTAAACCTCTTGGTCACACAAGAACACAGTGTAAAGAGCTAACATAGACTAAACTGGTACTGGAGAAAGGAGTTCCGTCAAATTTATAACTGCACGTAGCAGAACGAGAGACGATTGAGCGCTCTAAACACGATTCCTGCTCCAATCCAAAAGTAATCGTTCCTGCGGGCGAATCTACGGTCCCTCGTCGTGCAGACGTCTCACTAAGACCTGGTATTCAGATTTACATGGTTTATAAGTCAACAACAACCGCCTTTTATCAAATTGAAGACCCCCGCTAAGTCAATTTAAATGAGACGCTGCATCTGACAAGGGAAGGATACTTGGTCGAAGTGGGCTTTCATTATGAAATGTATACTGTCTTATAGAGCTTAGGACGCTGGTTCCGAATCTGCTTTCCTTATCTGCAAAGCTCTTCTGGGAGGGAAGTTATGAGAATTTCTTGGAGCAAAAATTCGAACACGCGGCTACGATAAAATCATTCAAAGTGCAGTCTATGAGCTCGAATGGGGCTATGATCACTACAAGGGCGTTTTATGCAATACTCAGTCTGATAAGCTCTTGTCAGTCGTTACTCTTTTCAAGCACCGGAAAGATCTGAACATCTGTTTTTACCTTAGCCCAACCATTAAATTCTTACCAATTAAAATTCTCAGAACTCCTCACCCAGAAGCGCTTTGCAGATAAGCAAAGCAGATTTGGAATCAGCGTTCCATGCTCTATAAGATGGTATACATTTCATATAGAAACTCCACTTCGACCAAGTATCCTTCCCTTGTGAGAGGGAGATGCAGGAAAAGATGCTATTAGCAAGGTGTGGTAAAGGCTGGCGGGAGTAGCACCCAGCGCAGTGTCTAAGCGAGGGGCAGAAAGAGTCACTAAAACAATGGGGATAACTTTGTTATTGTGACGGAGTTGCAGTTGGAGATATGTAAAGAAGTGTCACGTAATTATGGAACGCTCAGCGCATTCGATTAAAGTCACCGTCTACCCAGAGTGGAGATTGACGAGATTATGATGGCATTCTAGTGTGGGCCCCACACCTGGCAAGTCCCCAAGGCAAATCTTGAGGTACAGTCGAGTAGATTTCCTGCTTAATATAGTGTCCTTGCAGACGCGACAACGCTGGGGCGTCAGTAATTGCCTGACGAGTTCCCGAGCTAGTGTTTTCCAGTGTTTTCTTTGCTTATTCTATGCTTTTTTAGGCGATTCGTTGCTGATAAAGAAGAAGAGGGTAAGTTAGAGTAAGTTAGAGAGTAGTTTATGTTTTCCGAGAAGTTCTATCTTCGCATATTCATAGATATCCACGTGGAAGCAGTTCGCGTCAGCTTCTTGTCTATTTTTTTGTCACTTCATGTCTCTTTCTTCTTGTGAGGTACTTCTTTGAACGTTAGTGGGTTTTTACGATTGACTTATTGTCTTTATCACATGAAGTACTTGATTGAAATGCTATTTCTTATGGAAGAAAGCCGAAGTTGCTGCAAGACAAGCCAACAGCGTTCAAAGAAACGCCTCACAAGAAGGAGAAGGAGAAAAAGTGACAGAAGAAAAGGAAATGGCAAAAAAAATAGACAAGAAGCTGACGCGAAATGCTTCCACGTGGATATCTGTGAATATGCGATGATAGGACTTCCCAGAAAACAGAAACTACTCTTTAACTTACCCTTTTCCTCTTTATCAGCAACGAATTAACTAAAAAGCATGAAATAAGCAAAGAAAACACTGGAAAACACTAGCTCGGGAACTCGAAAGGTATTTATTGACGCCCCAGCGTTGTCGCGTCTGCAGGGACACTATATTAAGCAGGAAATCTACTCGACTGTAGTTACTCCACTCAGCTGGTCGCCCCGCCCACTTTGCAGGCTTTCCTTCGCCTGCGCGGGTTCTTTAAAACATGGAATTTGCGTTTCGCGGAGTCCCGACACCACATTCGAAATCATGGTCGCAGAAGGCCTGGAAGCGTCAAAAGCATGGAAGTCAAGAATTTGGGTAGACGGTGCTCATAAGAATACCTGTAGTGAGTGTCAAAAAATATTATACTTCAGTACACATCAAAAAAGTTGTAGGTATAGGATTGTTCCATAAGTTCAAGGTGTGTCTACTGCTGTGGAGCACAACCTTTTGCCACCTTGCCACGAGATTCGGAAAGCTGCGCGTCTGGTCCCAAAAATTTATCTCACCAGCGTTTGAGATTTTCTCCATAACTGAAGTCGCCGTTTTGGTTGGGGAACAAACAGTAATCTGCTGGGATGGTATGAGGAGTATATTGAGAAGTGGTATGTCACAGCCGAGTCTTGCACGTTTCGTCTCGTTTGACGACCTTTGCCTATGGGTCACGTTTTGTCAGAGTATTTGCATTATAATTATTTGAAGCAAATAACTATAACAAATAATTCAAAACAACGCTATTCATCTCCTGGGTCAAAGCATCTTCAATCTTGGCTATAGCTCCCTAAACAAGATATTTTTTCCCATTTCTGAAGTGTTTTCCATAACCTCATTCATCCGTAATAAATTAATAAATCCTTGCAAAACCTAGGAGCAGTGCTGCAAATTAACAGCGCCTCAAAGAAGTAAGAACCAAAATAAAAGCGTACGAATTTGTGGGAAAACCTAAATTGTGTGCTGAGCTCTATCGCTTTTTTTCTTGATTTTCGCTTCACATTTTATGCTACGATTGTTAAAGCACGCATATGCATCTAAAACTCGTAGTTTCTTCCACTAGTTTTTCTAAGTTGTTTTCCCAGTCTAGTAGAATCTAGAGAAGATTTCGTCTCCAAGACTAAAATCCATCGAATAGAAATCCATTTTCGACAAATACATATATTGCGCGACCTTCCAAGTAGGTTCTTATAAAAAAGCTTGAAAAATTGGCTACATGTGTGGAAAGAGTCTAGCTTTTGCATACTGCTTGAATATGATGAAAATTTTGTTTTCTTTGTGAATCCAAAAGGGATCTTTTTTGCCATGTCTCTTCGAAGTCGACGTAATGCATCTAAAATTGGTCTTGAGAAAGGGGGTTAGACAAGCAACCCCGCAGCAGAAGGGATGGTCTGCGGTTCCAAAGTCATCGATTTCATAGGTTACTCATTCAAAACTTGATTTCTGGGGGGGGGGGGATCCACAACTGAAAAGCGCAAAAGTTTTGGAAAAGAAATTAAAAGTTTGTGAAAGGATGGAAAGAAGAAAAAGAAAGAAAGTATATACACAAGCGAGTACACTGTTGTTCTGTTTGCTGTCACGTTTTGGAACAAATTTTATTAATGGAAAATGGAATGGGAAGAAAAAGATGTCAAAAATGGTATTCTCACTCCTTCGAAATTCTAGCTTCAAAGTCGCACTTGTTCTAATTTCTCCGATTTGAAGGAAATAGATTAGAGATTAGTAGAGATACTGAAAGTTTTCAGATGCAATTAAACAGTTTATCCTGTACAGAAAAATGAGACAGACCTCTTACAACTCAAAAAACTTCCGATGCAAATTGAGCGCAACTTTTCAAAGGGGGCGTCGCAAACAGTTTTCTTGTATAGGGCTTATCAAATTGAGTGTCGTTTGCACAAGCATCTCCATCTTCGCGCTGGAATTTGCGTCTCTTCCGCGAAGCTGCTCTCTAAGCACTTTCCCAGGGCGAGCGTGGGAAAGGCAAAGCCTCAATCGATTGGAAGTGGTTAGGGAACATGTGCCGTATAAGAGACGCAGAGTCCAGCGCGAAGATGGAGATGCTGGTGCAAACGACACTCAATTTGATAAGCCCTATATCTAGCGGTGTACCTAGCGAACCTTTCGAACGACTTTAACTATGATAACCCTGAAATTGAAGTATGCTGTGAAAGAAAAGCACTGGCCAAGCCACTCATTGTCTGAAATGTTGAAGCAGGGTAACTTTAAAAACTTTCAATATAATAAGATTGCAAATTCGTAATTATTTTACCAGTGCTTTCACTTCAATAGTCAGTATATAAGAAATGCTTTAAAGTGAGCTTTCTTGTCTTTCTCCAGTTTCACTCAAGTTTGTCATTTGAGGAGGGGTGGGGAGGGAGCAAAGAATAAAATATAGATTACATGAGTTTAGACATTATTAGTCCTCCAAGCAAGGATGCGAATATTTTGATCAAATTCAGAATTTTAGAGGCTGTGGAAGCAGGCATAAATTTGACCCGTCTAAATCGGTCTCCTTTTTGAATGACGGAACAGAATGGAGGCTGGAAAGCTGGCATGGACAAGTGGAAGGTGTACTAGGCATCGACAATGTGCAAGTAGGATTTCTAGACGAATCATCTTTTGCAAAACCAATACAGTTACTGCAGTATTCAAGGCTTAGGCTGTAATTGATTTTCTTATGATAAAACTCGTAAAAAGCGCTTGCAAACCGGAGTTCAATCTTCTTTATCCTTGCACAATAGCTTGTAGAAAGGCATAAAGTGTCTCACTTCTTCGCTTCTGGTACCACTTATTACAGAGTCTCAATGTTAGTGGAGGTTTGGATACGATATCGTTACATTGCCAGTTTGGAATGGTCACAAAGATGACAGTGCACGAGAATCTGGTAGAATCACACAGGTGTCGTTAACAAATTTAATGTCTAATGTTTGTTTCCAGCAAGCGGACGGAATGCTTGGACTTTGGGATTTTTCCACTCAGGCTAGTAGACCATTCATCTATCAGCTTAAAGGTGAGCGTCTACCAAACCTTCTAGTGCAAAGAAGTACAATCTTAGGGTACCTTCATACCGCGCCCGCAGCCGCCGCTAGCAGCCCGTAGCAGCCCGCAGCAGCCGCCGGCAGCCGCCAGCAGCCCGTAGCAGCCGCCAGCAGCCCGCAGCAGCCCGCAGCAGCCGCTGGCCGCTTTTGTTGAAGAGGCGCAAAATCATCAGAATCATCAGAATCTTACTACTTTTAGTGCTCCTGCCTACGCTTTTCATCTTACACGCTTTTTCTTCTGTTACCGCCAGTGTGTAGCTCGACTTTGCATATTACATTTGTGTTCATTGTTCTGCTGCCGCTCAGCGCATCCTATCGGTGCCTATATTTCACTTTTGCAAACTGTCTTGTCTAAAACGAATGTGAGTCATTGTCAAAATTGAGAGAACCCACCCGCGAACCAACTCGGCGAAATTGCGAAATAGTAGAATGCAATGCAGATATGCACCGATAGCCAAGAAAAACATTGAAGCAAAAGCATACTCAAAAAGTAAACAAATTGCACACCTGCAGGAACTGGACGCATTCAAAGTCAGAAGGAGTCACACCGGAAAGAATCTTCTGCAAACTGTGGTTCAAAACAGGATGACCATGGGCGGCACTGTAATGAAATGGACACAAATATGATTTGTGAGATCGAACTACCCACTGGCAACAACAGAAGAATAGGCAGGAGCACTTAAAGTAGTATTTTAATGATTCTGCGCTTCTATAACAAAAGCGGCCAGCGGCCGCTACGGGCTGCTGCGGGCTGCTGGCGGCTGCTGGCGGCTGCTACGGGCTGCTACGGGCTGCTGGCGGCTGCTGGCGGCTGCTACGGGCTGCTACGGGCTGCTGGCGGCTGCTACGGGCTGCTAGCGGCGGCTGCCGGCGCGGTATGAAGGCACCCTTACCATGCAGTTCAGGAAAATAAATTTGCGCCGGAAGTCGGAAGTTAGGATCACTTTGTCATTAGGATTTTAAATGAATCATTTAACATCCTAATGACAAAGTGATATCCAAACATAAATACTGGCAAAAAAGAGCGACTACCGACTACCATCTTACCATGCAGTTCAGGAAAATAAATTTGCGCCGGAAGTCGGAAGTTGGGATCACTTTGTCATTAGGATTTTAAATGAATCATTTAACATCCTAATGACAAAGTGATATCCAAACATAAATACTGGCAAAAAAGAGCGACTACCGACTACCATCTTACCATGCAGTTCAGGAAAATAAATTTGCGCCGGAAGTCGGAAGTTAGGATCACTTTGTCATTAGGATTTTAAATGAATCATTTAACATCCTAATGACAAAGTGATATCCAAACATAAATACTGGCAAAAAAGAGCGACTCGAGTTCAACTACAACAATTGCATGCGCAGATGAATATAAAAAATCTTATGTATAAAATGTCGTAAGGTGTATTCAAAAATCGTCAGATAGCGGACCGAGGGGGTCCCGAAGCGAGAGCGCCTGCAGCGCCTTTAAGAATTACTTGTTCCCTAGTCTGATATCTAAAGAATCGCTAGCTCAATTCAAAAATCTTCCAATAGCGGGAAACCGCAGTGCGTCCCGAAGCGAACGCTCTAGCACCTTTAGTTTACTGGTTCACTAGTTACTTACAAAAAATATATTAGATTCTCACCTATTACGAACGACCATAACTGCGCAAGAGTATTGAAATAAGCTTCCACTTTTGTACAGTCCTGCGATAAAATAAGTGCCCCTATCAAGCAGGGCATTGTCGGGACAGAACTGCAAAATGACCTTAGACTAGACAACATCCTGACTGATAACATTAAAGATTGTTGATGAGAAACAATCTACTAGGTTGTTTCATAAGTTCTGTTCAATTTATTTTTTGACCCAAGATATTACCATATCATAACTCTTTTCAAACTTAGCATTTCCTGACAAATCAAATTTTGCTGGATGAGCAAGATTATGACCAGGGTTGAGCAAGAGGTCAAGCACAAATCCTTCAAAAACGACCCCACCCCCCTTGTGAAAGCCCCTAAACGACCCTCCGCTTCACCTCCAAGTCCTTAGAGTGTATATTCTGAAGAAGACCAGCCTTCACTGCAGGTTTCTATTTTTTCAAAGTCTGTAGGCCCGACTTTCTGCGATTGCACAACCACACGCAACTTGACGGCGAGTTTTAGATTTGGATAGTCCTCTTTTCAGAGCTATAATTTTCACAGGGGTGGAGTAAATTCAAATTTTCTTCAAATTTTCAATATAGCAAGAAGAGGCTTTGCGCACAATACTCATATCAAAAAAGGGGCGATTTTTGAATGTTGAAGGCAAGTTAAGGGGGTAGGCGCAACCCCTCAAAAGCTCAGGGGGCCTGACCTTTTAAGGGGTTGCGCCTGACCCCATTAACTTTATTTCCAAAAAAGCTTTTCTATCCAGGCTTTATGTGAATCATAGCTCAATCCTCGAAGATTCCATAGTAAGTGTTTGAGCTTGATTCAACTTGTTTCGGCCTTGTGCTAATCCGAGAAGTTGAAGCACTCAACGTGAAAAACGCGAGGTTGGAATTTTGGCAGCACTTCTTACTTCAGTGTTTGAAAGCGATATGAAGTCCGATTTGTAGCATAGACTTGTAGAGAACATTACTTTGTTATGAGTAGTCAAAAGCTGACTTTTCTCACTTCTGAAACCAAGTTGATCACGTTTGAAAATCACGCTTTTTAGGAGTTGAGAAACACTAGAAACTGCAGTAGGTAATGGTTTGTAGAGTGCATAGAGGTAGTTTGACATGCTGATTATGGAAATGATACCCATTTCACACAGCAAGCTTCCTTGTTTACCTCATATGTCAAGGTAAAAGAGAAGAATATTTGGATTTTGGCTGAACCTTCCATTGTGGAAACAATCAGTATGCTGTTTATGACCGTCATTCCTTCATGTGATCACGATATCCACCGGACTAGCGCATTTCTTCTTCACCTTCACAGTATCTCCTCAACTTAATAAATTCGATCTCAATTACCCCCCCCCCTCAGTCTTACTCTCAATACGATTCCCCAGGTCGGGCGCGCCTGACCCCACGCTCAACCCTGATTATGACTATCAGAAGTACAATATGCCACGCGAAAAATCAAGTGAAGAAGAAGAGTACACTCACAAGGGAAGATCAAAGGTCGAAGTGGCCAATCCATGCAAGCTGCATACCGTTAGACGCAGCATAAAACGCTGACTCTAAATCTGTCTTCCATATCTGCAGAGCGCTTTTGTGGTCGAAATTATAAGCCTTGAAGTCCATTATTTTGCTAAGAAATTGTGCTTGTAAAGTGCAAACTTGGACGTACAAGGCCATTCTCTGTTCAGTGTTGGACCAAAACATGCAACTAGGTCACTTCGTATGACCCATACCTGAAGGTGAGCTGAAAGAGCGATAATGTGCCTAATTTCGCAATTTTGTATACGATTTCTGCGCAGTAAAGCTGCTCATAACTTCGCCTACAAAGATGCTCTGCAGATAAGGAAGACAGATTTAAAATCAGCATTTGATGCTGCATCGAATAGTATGCAGCTTATATGGATTGGCCACTTCGACTTCCGACCATTCCCTTGTCAGAGAATTCCGCAACATCTCCTTCAAGACTCAACAGCTGCTTTGAGGTTTTCTAAGCTCCTAATCATTTCGAAGAGTCATGGAATCATTCAGCGTTTTTGATAAATGAGGCAGATGATTTTGTAAATTCTGCGTAATCGTTGGTATTGACGGAACAACTTTATCATAGAGTTGTCACATTTTGTACCAAAAAACTCAGTTTTCAAACGACAGGAAATGCTGTGATGTGGCCAGTACCTCGGCTATACAACTAAACTTGTGTGCATGCTTAGGATAAAATTTTGGGACTGAGCCTCGTTCAACCACGTGTGGAGCACCCTGCGCTTTATAGCCGTCTCAGAACGAGATCGAATGGAGCCTGCTCAAATTCTGAGAATCTTAACCAATGTCAGCTACTGCCTATGTGACAAAATTTGAAATTGTTGTAGTCTTCTACTTGTGCTTGTACTTGTATTTGTGGTGGATCCAGGACACTTGTAGAATACTAGGTTTATTTGTAGACCGGATATGAATAAGAACAGACGATAAGACGAGACGAACGAATGACTTAGCTAGCAGGGAGCGCCTTAGGCTGGGTTCATACTGAGCCGCACAAAGCGGCACAGTTCCAGCACAGCGCTCGAATTGTGCTTGAAGCTGGAACTGTGCCGCTTTGTGCGGCTCAGTATGAACCCAGCCTTATACAGCGCTCAGATTCCGCGCATAGATCAATACAATACCAATGGATCCTAGAGATCACAAGCCAGTAACAACACAAAGCAAAACAACAAATGTTACTTTCCAACAGAATTGAACGTAGAAAAATAAATCGTAGAATGCTCTTGAGATTTACAATTATGTCGAATTTACTGCTCATAGAAAATTCTCGTGAATGAGATTCAAGGATTGAAATTGCAACTGCATCAGTGGAAAAAATCAAAAATGTTGTAAAAGTTGCATCATTGTAGTCAACTTGATAAATCAAGTGAAATTTCATAAACATTGAGTAATGTAAAACGTGACAATTTCATAATGAGGTTAGCGTCTGTCCGTGATAACAGCGATAACACATAGATTATGAAAGATTATTACCTTTTTTGTCAATAAGAAGTGGATTCCATGACTATCATTCGTAGGAAAAAGAGCTTGAAATTTTCAAACGAACTGTATGTTGAAGCAAACTGACTTTTGATGATTGAGCAAAATTTGTAGAGACCATTTATCTTAAGAGTTAAGGAACGCGACAATGTGAAAAAAGCAGAGGTCTTCTCTATATTGTCCAGCTTTCAGTATGCGAGCGCTGAATTTTCTTATTTTTCTATATTCGATCCCAACAAGATTTGGAAGCCGCTTTGAGTCATTATGGTTAGGCCCATACGCGCTCTCTACAGCAAAGTTTCAGTCATGCACGTCAACAAGAACGCCAATTACGACGATTTTTAGAATGGTTTTATAATATTGACCAGCACTGTACTACTCTCTCAATTGAAAGAGAATCTAGAATCTAAGATGATGTTCATCCTGCATGTTAGACTTTTATGGGTTATATTAGTTGAACAATACTGAATCAAAAATTCAGAGTTTTACGACTTTTGACAAAGATTATTTTACATGCAAACTGCGATTTTACCTTCACCAGTTAGGAATCTGAACCTCAGCATAGAATTGTTGGACTCCTAGTTTCACGAGCTTGTGTTCACACCATTAAGATCAATCATAAAAGGTAGATAATATGATTCAATAATCATCATGTCAAATAAACTCTATGCAAGAAAGCAAATTCTAAAAACTTTGTCTTGTGCTCTATGTTTATCGTACTCTTACAAAATCAAGAGCAATAATATTACAGCAATTTTTTTGTAATCAATACCTTGAACAGCACCTGTGCCATTCTAGCAAATTATGCAAAGATTATCAAGCGCACGAACTTTTCTTGACTATTATTTACAAGCTACTAACTACGTCAGCAAAACCTAATCTTAAGCTTTCGAGCGGCGAAGCAGTGATTATTGCTCTCACTAATGCGTAATATTTTTGAAGACCTATCGGAACCCTGGTTCGTCATCAACCTTAGCCAAAAACCGGAAGTTGGGGCAAAAGGATCCGTGCAATATGGATGGCGACACAAGTTTGGTTGCAACCACAAGCCACTGTTGCGGTACAATTACTTGCCAGAGGCTCCCTATCAGTTCCAGGTAAACGACACTCAAATAATAGGCGTAAATTCGGCCTACAGCTTTCCATTTGAATTTCGTTTCGCATAAAGCTTGTAATGTGCAGATCATTTTGTTTAGAGGTGGCTCTTTCATCATTTGGCCTTGCGATTTGGTTTGAATAAACTACAACAAAGAACAATGCATTGATGTTGAAAGGGAAAAAGCATACTAGATCGATGTAAGATCGATGTATGCTCCATATGCTACCGCACAAGTTCATAAGAATCTGCAGCGGTCGCATAGGGCTCTGAGCATACCTCACGCGATTTCAGTAGCGACGCGATTTGGCAATACTCCAATTGTGCATTACTCATCGTAAGGGGTTCCCAAATGTACGAAAGATAGGGTTTATCAACCTACGAAAGTTAAACATGTTGTGCATTTAGGATATGCCAGTATTGTATTTGAAGACATCTGGCAGATTGCTAGATCGCATGACGACTGAAATCGCGTAAGGTATGCCCACGGCTTGAAGACAGTGTCCAAGAAGGAAGTCGACTTCGAGATTTTTGCTTACCTGGACCTGTTCGCTATGCTGAATCCGATAATCAACACTGGAGAACGCGAAAACGGGGAAATAAGGCTCTAACGAAGGAGAGGAATTGCAGGCGGGCGGGACTGTTCACATAGTGGCGTCACAGCAATCGGAACCGAGAAGATCGCTCCTTAAGCCTGGGAGAGTGAGATACGGTATGAACGGCTCCTCCCGCCTACGATTTCCCTCCTGCGTTAGAACCTTTTTTGGCATTTTCGCACTCTCCATTGTGGTTTATCGGATTCAGCATGGCGAATAGGTCCGGATCTAATATATAAAGAATCGTAAGCGCAATTCAAAAATGTGCAAATAGCGGGAAACCGCATGGCGGTCCCGAAGCGCGAGAATGCAATCTAGCCCCTTCAATTACTGGCCCACTAGTAAGCACAAAATTTCAAAACGGCCTTTGGCTTGGATACTGCCTTTAAAGGACTGGCCATACCTCGTTGTCGCTCCATTTCTGATTGCTATGCTTGGTCACAATCTCTCGTAGGCGCATACTTTGTAAGCAAGGTTTGGCATGTACGTATAAACTTACAAAAGCTATGCGCACGCAATTGCATTTCACACGCTGTGGATCCGCACATTTGGCAAATTGGCAGATTGGATATCGCCGCAATTTTGGAGAAACGTGAGGTATTATCGAGGTCTAAGAACATGCATCAGTTAGAGCCTGACACAAGCACATTGAAAATGTTTTTATCATGTTTTACGTCTTATTCATAAACAATACAGCACAGAAGCAGTCAACTTCAAATCAAAATTCATGCCCTATGGAGCTCAGTAGTATCTCTTATGACAGTTTTCTACACGTATCATTTCATTAATAGTATTTAGCGTCCACGACCTCGCCTGAGTAGAGAATTAAAGTGTCTAGGTTCTGAGACGCGATAGTGCATAGCCTCATACGACCTTGGGAGACTTATTTTTTCGCCGTTTCCTGTGCTGTTCTTTAGCCTTCCCCCCTCGCCCTTCCGCCGTGATGATTGATACAATCCAAAATATTTCGCCAAAAGTCAATAACTGATGGGAGAGTTTGCCAAAGAGCTAAGGCTCCTGCCAGAGTGCCGGAGCTACGCCAGCTCGCGTCGGCGCCGAGCAACGCCGAGCTAGCGCCGTCGGTGGTCCCGACACGATTTTCGATCAAAGCAGCGGTCGCGCACCCGGCCAGGAAAGCCAGAAGTTTGCGTCTGGTCCCCTTTTCCCATTTTTCTTGCCTTTTTCTACTCTCCGCGTTCTTCTTTGTCGCTTTCATCTCTCATTGTTCCTTGGAGTTTTTTTTCTTTTAAGGAGGGAAGCTTCCTCACCAGCTTTTTTTGGAAGCAAGTGGTACCAAACGCTTGTGCTCGACTCATCACGGCAGCTCCAATGTTTTTTCCTAAACACTTTCTCAAAATTTTGTTATGTGAAAAACGGGCTCCTTTTCTACTGATGAGATGGTTTTCCTTTAGGTATTAGAGTTTTGAATACAATGGTGGACGCGGCTCTAACCCCGGTTTTTCCTATAGGGAAGTATAATCCTGTCGTTTCATTGTTCGCTCGTCATGTCTTGGCGGTTTCACTGTTAGTCAGGATAAAATTTACCCTTTTCAATCGTAGACATTTGAGCTCCAGCCACCTAACTTCCTGATGCTCCGAGATTTTTGCTTTTTAGAAAAAAGTGAAGACCAAACCAAAACGATAGGGGGCATTTTAGACGATTTTAACAGCGGCGACGCATTCTTATGAATTGTGTATCGGATGCTTTTACTTTGTCTGCCAATAAGAAATTGACTGCCGCTAAGCTCGAAAGCATTTCTTACAAGGGTTATGACTAGTTGTTCAAATGTTATGCCTTGTTGTGCTTCTTCCGAAGTAAGACTGTTGAGATGCCGCTACATGGTCGGAACTTGACGGAATTGTGTGGATCAGCTAGAAAATAGCTCAAATGGCATTGCAGAAAATCCATGATCCACTACATTTGAATCCCACTTGTAACTGCAGGCGTCGCATAAAAGCTCTGGAGCCCTGGAAAAGTACTGGCAAGAGACCGTTTCCTGAAACAAAAACAACATTTATAAACAATAGAGAGATAAAAAAGATAAAAGAATCGCGGAGAGGAGAGAAAGGCACGAAAAGCGACGAAAAAATGAAGTTCTGGCGTCCCTGCACCAATGGATGCACTCTGCATTGATCTAAAATCGCGTCGGTATTATCAGCAGCACTGTGCCGTCGTGGCACTAGTCTGGTGCTGGCTCGGCGCCGGCGCAACGGTGACGTAGCTCTGGCAGTCTGGCAGAAGCCTAATGACATTCGTCGCTGAGGAGAACTTGTGGAAGAGACGCTCATCGGTAAGCACGGGTTTTTCTAACAAACACACACAATCATCGAAGCTGCTCATCTTATATATAAAGCTGAATGTCTGTTTGTCTGTCTGTCTGTATGTCTGTCTGTCTGTCTGTCTGTCTGTACGTATGTTCCGAATAGAAAATTCCATTTCTGAACCGATCCGGACCAAACTTGGCACACATACACTACGGGCCCAGGCGGGTGTCATAGGCTACTTTTCGTCATCGATCGATATCGATTTTATCGATTTTTTGCAAAATTTGAGCTACGGGGCTGGGAGTTGGCACAGGGGGGTAAGTGAGCATGGGGATTCCGAATACAATATTAGTTTTTGAAATCGTGCATTACTTTTATCGATTTTATCGATTTTTTTGCAAAGTTTGAGCTACGGGGCTGGGATTTGGCACAGGGGGGGGGGTGTAATCGAGCATGCTGATCACCCCCGTGGGGGTGATCAGCATGCTTTTTATTCCAGCCCCCTAGCTCAAATTTTGCAAAAAAATCGATAAAATCGATTAAAGTAATGCACGGTTTCGAAAACTATTATTGTATTCGTAATCAGCATGCTCGATTACCCCCCTGTGCAAATCCCAGCCCCCTAGCTCAAATTTTGCAAAAAATCGGTAAAATCGACATCACGATAACGAAAAGTGGACTGTGACACCCGCCGGGGCCCGAAGTGTATGTGTGCCAAGTTTGGTTCGGATCGGTTAAGAAATGGAATTTTCTATTCGGAACATACGGCGGAGCCGGGTAAGCCAGCTAGTTATCATATATTCTACAACACTAACGCGATCTGTTCGTAAGCGTGCCTATGCCAAAACTTGTAAAAATTTGTTCATTACGAAAATGGTAGATTCTTACGGTCATAGTCCCGAGCTACGAATATAGGCCATCAGCAAGTAGGTTTATATATAACGTGTCTCCCGGCTAGCCCCGTAGGTACCCACGAGGCGCACCCGCAGAATGGGCTCGACGTGATACTTTTCGCCTCGTATGTAAGCAGTAAAGCACTTCTGCGCTTACATAGGAGATTATTGAAAAGTGTAACCCTCTATATTTACCTCGAGAGAAGGCTATGCAAGACAGAACGTGTGCAATCAAACCTCTCATTGATTATGAGTGATAATAAGTGTACGCAGTAACAGAAAAAGAACAGCATTGAATTTGAAACGTTTTCTTTCGCTTGTAGAAAATCGGGTAATTTTTATAAAAATGGGCACATTCACAAACGGGTCCCTACCGGCTCATCGGAAAGCTTTATACTGACTTGAAGCACTGTCTACACCTCTATAAAGTAGAGATTAGAGAGACGCTTGTTTTGTACAAGAACCTTAACTACTCAAGGAAAAAAGACATTTATGACAGAAGTTCTCACTATCAGAGCACTTGAAAACTTGTCACCTGTTGTTTGTTGTCGCTGATCGTTTATACCTGAAATAGATGGATTGCAGTGAAAAAAAATCAAGAATAAGAGAGAGAAGCAAAAATTTTTTACAAAAGCTAGAACAGGAGACGCACTGAAGGCGTGCGCTCCGGTGCGTCGCAGAGGATACTATGGGAAGCTACTTGTAGGAAACTGGGGGGACGCACACTGTATCAATAATCGCGTAATGTGAAGACTCATCTTTGGACCTTGAGGCAATAAGCATTCAGGTTTTGGAAGATGACATAGGTCTAATCAGAGACATGTTTTATACAGGGTGTCCCAAAAAGATGTGCACACTGTTTGATCTTTAATAACTCTGTTGCTTTCATGTCTTTTGCCGAGCTTGAGGTACCATTCTGTAGAGCGAGGTTCAACTTAGATTTACAGTATGGAGCAATTTATCAATCGCTCTTCGTTACTGTAGGATTACGGTAGAAACTTCGAGAGGGATTTGAGGCATTGAAAGCGGTATTTTGCTTCGGAAAGAAATCCAAACAAGTCAGAAACTCTTGAACTGGGCTAGTCGAGGTCGCTGATTCTAATTATGAAATTTGCACTTCAGTACAGCTCTTCTTCCATAAGTTATTCCAGATTTAAGGTAACAATTTTTTCCAGTGTTCGTCAGGAATGTGAGTACGCCATCAAGAAAGCTCGAAAAACTGATGAAAAGTTACGTAGCGAATTCAGCGCGCCTGAAAACCTTGCTACACAAACTTTCAGATTTTTTGAAATTTTTTCATCGTAAGGCCTATTCTACAGTGACGCTGTATGTTGAAAATTCATACCGTAATCCTACAGTAACGAAAAGCGGTTGGAAACTCGCACCATACTGTAAATTTAAGTTTAACCTCGCTCTACAGAATGGTACCTCAAGCTCGGCAAAAGACATGAAAGCAAGAGAGTTATTAACGATCAAACAGTGTGCACATCTTTTTGGGACACTCCGTATTGCGTAATAAAAGCATTCATCTACAAACATCATTCACTCTATATGAAAATATTTTCAGGTGAAAATTACCATGGGGAGCTTTGATCCGCATATGCTATTTCTTGCAATTCCTGATTTGATCCCACATATTACTGGCCTACCAGAACTCATTGATGGTATAGCCAGTTGCGCAGGAGCCGAAGTATAATTCTTTACCCTTCCATACACTGCGACAATTGATATTTTTAGTATATCAATGGAAGTTACGAATTTGACTGCAAAGACACGCAGAGTGTACCAGATCTGATAATCACTTACGGACAGGTTCCTCTTCGTATAGCATCGGATAAACTTATCAAGAAGGTAACTGGTTTACATATTTGAGCATTTTTGTCAGATTTAAAAATTCTGTCAAAGTCAGCTTGAATTGCGCTGATAAATCTTTTACGATATAATCAATTTTTGCAAGCGTGGTAGAAAGGATACTAAAAGGTCATTGACAATGATTTTAATCATGAATATATAATAAGAAATCCGTTTATGAACAACAATATCAATGGAATGCAGGTCTTAGTATCATTGTATCTTGGGATTTAAATCTCTTGGTTGGTTTCTAGGGCGGAGATCAAGATTGGTACATCTTTATCGCACACAATATATAGACTGATGCTTCGGCAACTTCGCCCTTTTGAGAGTTTGGGAATTCGTCAGAAAACAAATCAATAACCTATCCAACAAACATCTTATTGATTACAGAGAAGAGCTCAACGCTATGAGAAAACAAGAGTCGCAAGAAAAACGCATGATTAAGCCAGCGCTCACCTTAATGAATGATAGAACTAGTGGATTTACTTGGTTGCTGTCTTCGCTAAAACAAGTTGCTATTTTGTTCCCTCTGTTTTTACTCTCATTTTCTCTGATTTTTCTCCATTTTTGCGCCTCTGAAAAGTAGCATCAGTAAATACTATAGTTAAAACTTGACGACCGCTTGACACACATGGTGTGTCAAGGCTCAACACACCATAAGTGTCGTTGAAATGACTACTACTTTGTGTCAAACCCACGCCGAGTGTTTTCTTTTATGCTGGATTTAGACACAACCTCTATGTTTTTGCCAGCATTATAACGTTACTGTAGTACTGTAGATGGATTTGTGCGTGATTTTATTTAGAAAATATTGACTGGTCCGTGAAACGCCTTGGTCGTCAATGTGTTAAAATCGTTCGAGTTATTTTTGACCATTGAAATATCCAAAAAACGAGTGTTCAAGAAACTCTACTTGTTTGAATGATTGAATAGTCGGATAATCGCAAATGACTTTTACTTGGATATTCGTTTATTTAACGACGAAAAATGACTTACTCGGATATTGGAAAATCTGAAATAATATGGAGAATAGTAAATCGATACTTAGAATATTTAAGTGGAAGAAGCGCATGTTTGATTATTCGAACACTAAACACCACTCATTCGAACATTTGATATTTGATGAACTCTGGCTGTTCGCTGTTCGCTTGAGCTAATTCCTGGTTGATCGACCATTCAAATGAATGATCAAAAGCTATTATAGAATGGCTAGCATGAGTTCCATCTTTATCAAAGCAATCGCGCGTCTGCCAGAGCATAGTTGGAACAGGTCCTACACCTAGCTTCATTTGAGTAACAAGGCTTTTTCTGGAGATTGCGTCTGCAGCAGCATGAGATTCGATATCAAACTCACAAATGCCTCCAAGCTTTGAAAGCCTGAGTAAGAAAGCAAATACCATTGAAAACGCAGCCTTCTGAAGCACTGGTCCTTCAGGCAGCTTGCATCAGCATGTCGATTGGACCGATAGTCCTTGAAAGCAGCGCCTTTTTGCAACATTCGTTCCTCCGGGTCCCACTTGGCTTGCCAGCCTTTAATATCTGCCCGCATGGGCAAAATACCCGGAATATAAAGGCTACTGCATGACGAAAGCGCAATATATTAGGTCGTTTCAAAAATAATTTCGCTTTTTTCAAACGAGCGCCACATTTAATGAAACAAAGGTTTCTAAGAGATCTTAGAAGCGTTCGATGCAGAATTTCATTCTCTTTCTAAGGTTATGAAAATGTTGCAAAACAATCAATGAGCTTTCAGAAAATAACCAAAATCTGCGACCTATGCTTTTTGAGATGGTCAAGTTTCACGATTTTTTAAAACTCTCATTTCAATGCTGAAGGAGTCCAAGTAACGATTCGATAGAGTAAGCTTTACAGAATACACCACTTCTTTTTTCTCTTTCTCATAGCTCGCCATAATTTTTTAAAAGATTTTTCAATAGAGCCATTGGAATTTGGCAAGCCCACCTCAGCCACAATCGCATCAACCATCAGTAATTACTCGGAATTTCAAGCTTTCAAGATGATATAAGACTTGATATTGATTTTATAAAGCAAATGAGAGTTTACGATTCGGAATATCAAATCTCGAGTTTTTCGGGTAAGCCTGGGGCTCGCTAAAAAAATGATTTATGATGATTTTATCTCCGGAAACTAAACGAATTGGAAACAAAAAACACTTATCAGAAAGAGGAGAAAATGCTGCATCAAATAGTGCGCGAGCCGCCCTTTTTTTGATGTTCTACGAAGATTTAGCTGCCCAAGTATGGAAATCAGTAGCATCAGCTAAAATTCTTTTAGGAATGTAGAACAAGCTATGGAAAGGAGAAACAATAGTTTTGCTTTCTGTAGGGTTTGCTCTATAAAGGCGTTACTTGAACTCCTTCTGAGGATTGATATGAAAGTTTTAAAAAAATCGTGAAACTTGACCATCTCAAAAAGCATGGATCGCAGGTTTTGGTTATTTTCTGAAAGCTCATCGACTGTTTTGCAACATTTTCATAACCCTGTGAAAGAGAATGAAATTCTGCATCGAATGCCTCCAAGGTCTCTTAAAAAGCTTTGTTCCATCAAATGTGGTGCCCGTTTGAAAAAAGCGAAATTACTTTTGAAACGACCTAATATTTGGGCGCAAACGCGGCTTCATTAGCCGCAGAGCGCATGAGACGCAGGTTTTATAATAGTGAAGATACGCGCTCGCCGCGCTCGCGCCCGCTCAACTGATTCCGCTTCTGCGCCTTCGTCATGCACTAGCCTTTATGTCAAAGCGGAGCAAGGCTCGAGCGAGGCAAACGCAAGAAACTAAGGCCGGATTTGAGCTGACGGCACTACGGCACCTATGCGCATGACAAGGGCCACGCATTGCATTTATAGCCGCACGGGCGTAAAAATTCAGTATTTATTGTCTATGAATTAAAAGTGTTGCAAAGTTCATGACGATAAACACTTTCAGTAGGTTGCACAATTTTGATATTATGTTGGCTAAAAAATAAGTTTGGTATATTCAACTACCAAATTACTCATATTTGTACTAACGACAGACTGAGAACGAAGTCTAGAATGAAGAAAAGGAGATTTTCTAGAAGGCTAGCGTGGTGATATTGTGTTTTCTTGATGGAGGAAATTACTCAGCACCTGAAAAGACTGGGCTGCTAAACTAAGTTTTGTAACTAAGTTCGTAACTTTTCGTTTTTTGATCTTGACATGCTCATTTTTTGATATTCTATAGTATGTTATGTGAGCTATAAACTGCTGCAAGAAGCTTATGAGAACAAAATGAAACAAATCCAAGGATTTTTTGAAAACTAATGAATGCTGAGGATATATGGGGTAATTAGTAAAAATGAAGTTTTTCGACCTAAATCATCCACAACAGTCCTGAATTCTACAAGAATTATTGCTAGGGGTTGACTCATCTAGCACACTAAGAAAATTTCAAAATTCATGGATAAGTCAAGACGTGGGGGCTTCACAAAGTTGGAGAAGCCGCTGTACGCAAGGCTGTGTGAAGACGAGCGCCTGTGACTAAAAGGTCGGAACTCGGAATTCGCTGAAACTTTGCATGTGGGATTATCTACATTAATTAGATACTTAGATGCTTAGATGGCCCGTCCTCACGTGACGTGCGGGCCCCAATACAGAAGTTTCCATTGATCCCTGTCCTCGGACATCCACGATCTTCTTGGTCGTCGTCGGTGGCTGCGTCCACGAGTTCCAGGGGCGAAAATCGTATCCAGCTGATTTTCCAACTGGTCCATCCGTTCCACGAACGCGTCTGCCCATCTCGTCGGTGGTCTTTCTCGAGGACGTTTGGCTTCGCGAGGAATCCACTCAGATGTTCTTAGTGTCCATCATCGTGTTCTTCTCATTATGTGACCGGCCCATCGGTGCTTCGCTTTCGCAACGTACTCCGCTGGGTCATAACGGGACATTCTTCTTATATCCGTGCTGCGAAGTCCGACTAGATGTTGCTTGTGTCGGGTCATCTTCAGAAGACTGCGCTCGAGCGCTCTATGGGTGTCCTCAAAGCTTTCGACGTGGCTACGGTGTCATGTCTCAGCTGCGAAGCAGAGCGCTGGGAGAACGGTTGAGTCGAACAGGTGGGCACGAAGCTCCGGGTCCGTCAGTTGGTCGGTGGCTTGCTCCCAGTCCGATTTTTCTTCCCTACTCCGTTTAGTTCCTTCAGCATCGTCTCTGCATCAGTGATACTGCTCGAGAAGAGGACGATGTCATTCGCAAAACGAAGGTTGGGTAGGAATTTCCTATCAACTCGTATGCCTCTCTCTTCCCAGTCTAGTGACTTCATCACCCACTGCAAGACCGCGGTGAACAGCTTCGGCGAAATTGTGTCGCCTTGTCGGACCTCCCTCCCAATTGAGATGAGGGGGCGATGCAGCTGCATCGTCACTGTACAGTCCTTGTAGCAGTCGGCTAACGTCCTCACGTAAGCTGTTTCCAATACTTGATCGACTAACGCTGACAGAGTGGCGTTCGTTTCGACGCTGTTAAAGACTTTCTCGTAGTCGGCGGAGGTTAGGACGAGAGGCAGTCGGTACTCCCGGCAAACTTCTATGACCCTCAAAACCGTCTGGATGTGGTCTATGCTGCTGAATCCTTTGCGAAATCCAGCTTGTTCTTGGGGCTGGGCTTCATCCAGTGTCCCAGATATGCGTGCGAGGATAATCTTCGTGAAAAGCTTTACAGCACACTCAGCAGGCATAGCATATTGGGCGTTAACTTCGAAGATCCTCCCGTTCACCCTTCTTGAAAAGAAGGACGGTTCTTGACGTTCTCCACTGGTCGGGAATCCTCTCCTTCTGGAGGCAAGATGCAGGTGCGACGCGAGAATCTCGTGTAGACGTTGTCCTCCGGCTCGCAGAAATTCGACGGAAAGATAGTCTGGTCCTGGAGCCGTGGACGTCTTCATGGTCTGAATGCCGTGCGCACTTCAGCAGGTAGAATTCGTGGTGGTACTTCTCCAGTGGGAACAACAGGCATCGGCACGGGTGTTGATGAGCGGAAGAGGGTGGTATAGAAGTTCTTCGCGATAGATTCCATCTTGTATCGGAAAGAAGTCGGACTCCCGTCTTCGTTCAACAGTGCACCCAGCGGTACGTGATATTCACAGAGGTCCCTTCGGCATTTCTCGAGACTTCGTCTTCCTTCGGCTGCTTCCAGTGCCTCAAAAATCTTCTTCTTTCGAGCAATTCCTTGGTGGTCTTCGAAATACGTCCCAAGTTCTTCTCGAAGCTAACTGAGGCGCATTCTCCGCAGGCTCGCAATCCTTTCAGAAGCCGGTCGTAGTCGTACGTTGGGTCCTCCTCGATGGGCCAGTCACAACTTGATATGAGCTCTTCCAGCCTGTTACCGTCATAAACGACTTCCTTCCTTCTCGCGGCACTATGACAGACTTTCTTTTCCAGCCTTCGGCTGAGTCGTATCTTCGCTCGAAGGAGGCGGTGACCGGAGCCACTACAGAAGGATGGAACTACAGAGACATCGAGTAAGCTCCGCCTTCGGTTGGTGAGAATGTGGTCGATCTCAGCTTGAGTCGTTCCGTTGGGCGATTCCCAAGTCCACCGGCGATGTTCTTTCTTCATGAAGATGGATTTCCATGGAAGAGTCGTGCGGCGGAGAGAAGCCCAACGAGACGGTTGCCGTTTTCGTTTCGGAGCCCATATCCAAACTTCCCGATCCTATCATCCTTTTCTAGTGGCATCCCGATTTTCGCATTGAAGTCGCCCACAACATACTTGTAGAAGGACTTTTCGTTGCGGACGACCTCCTCCACGTCTTTGTAGAAAGCATCTAGTTCTGAGGCGTCAGCTGCTGATGTTGGCGAGTAGCAGTTGATGATGCTGATGGTCTTCTGACGTGGAGGGCGTAGTCGTAGGATGCCTAGTCGAGGTGATAGGATCTCATGCGAATCGACAAGGTGGACGATAGATGGATGGACGACAAAGCCGACGCCTCCCACGTTTCGTGATGGAACCTTTTCACCACGAATGATGAGGGTCCCATCACTCATCTGTCGCACGTCCTTCTTCCTGGACTTCGTTTCCTGCAGAGCGATGATGTGGTAGTTGATGTGTCTGCAGCGTCGAGAAGAGCGTGGAGATCGGCCGGTGGAAATGTCCTGGCGTTGTATGTGCAGAGCATAAGCCAGTCTCCATGGCGTGTCGTCCGGAGACTGGCTTATGTCTGACGTGTCGTTTTTTCCACTTTAAAAGGCCCCTGAGGACCTTGTCATCGTTCATGCTGCTACCTGGCGCCGTGGGCGGGGCTCGATAAACAGGGTTTACTTCATCTCTTTTTGCTGACGGAGTAATCAAAGTTTTCCCCCACAAGAGCAGACTTACTAAGGCAACTCTTGATTTCCGCGGGCGATCGCTGACCTAGGATTTGGAGCGGGGAAACGCCTAGCGATCTGAAAAACAGACGGCGGATTATCTGACCTGTCAAACACAAATATCATATTTTTCAATTGAATTGACGCCTCTTTTCTTGTTTAGGTTGGGGCCCATACCGTAAACCTACAGTAATCTCACAAAAAAGGCTCTGCCATGCAAACTCAATATCATTTTCGTGGTCAGCATGTCAAGTAATCCCTTACGCCAATTTTCAGCCAAATTTGCAATAATTTATAATTTTTGGCCCTATAAAATATGCTTACCGTAACCCTCATTGCGAGATCAGAATTCGTTAGAATTGTAGCTGCTCTTGTAGCTTACGTTATAGTATACATAATAGCAGAATTTGAGTGCGTCATATACAGAGAGAGAAAAGTTATAAAAGCATAGGCTGCTGCATGACGAAGGCGCAATATCTTCGGGCGCGAGCGCGGCTTTATTAGCCGCAGAGCGCATGAGGTGGGGGACAACGGTGAGGATACAGGGCGTCGCGTTCGCATCCGCTAAACTAATATCTCCATTGCGCCTTCGTCATGCAGCAGCCTTTAGTTGCAAAACTTAGTTAGTAGCCTAATAATATAGTAGTAGAGGCTTAGAGCTACCTGCTCACAAAACATTTCAGTAAATAGCTGCTACTCGAGTTGTTATAGAATTTCGAACTTGCATGTCAGAACGAATTTATTTATTAGCCACCCTAATATTATATATTGAAATGAGCATGAGTAAAGGACGTTTGCCTTACAATAGAAGCTTAAAAAATTCAGCTAAGACAGCTCTATAAAATCTGGTCAATATCATAACAGAAGTTATGGAACTCAGCGACTAACAACTCAGACAGTCATTAGATTAACGGCCTATATGCAGCTGCTCACACAACTTTCCTTTTTTGATCTAGTCACACATGTTTTGGTATTGCGTATGTAAACAAACAGCGCGTTACCTTCGAGGTTTGCGGTTTTAACGCTGTAATCCTTCCTGATCTCCCGTGATAGCATTGGAATTCTGCGCAATGCTGACTATCACTATTATAATAATAACTATAAGCTTTGCCATATAAGACTGGAAAAATTGAGGACTGAGCAGAAGAATAAATGCAAATTTGAATCAGTCATCAAATTTATTATGGCTGAATAGGCGTTATGAAGGACAATGAATACTTTGCACTACATGCTCGAGTATCTTTCCTGTTCCTTATGTAGACCTTGACAAAGCGAAGATGAGCCAGTTATCTTTTTCACTCGGTAAAATTCGACAGGTTGATTTTTGAGCTTATGCGTATAATTTTCGGCTACAAGTCGTAGATTGAATATAGCGACTAACAATAATTTTTGAGAAGCAACAAAAGACTCATCAACATCAAAAACGGTGTTAAAGTTACCAAAACTTTCGAATTATTCAAATAGTCGAGTATTCGACAAATTTCGTTTATTTAAACGATTGTTCATTCGAGTTTTAATCAGCATTATTCCAATGCTCCAACTTGAATATTTTCGTAGTTCAGTCCAAACCAAATTAAGCGAAACCCAGAACCACGGCCAATTGTGGGGTGTGGCATGCCAACCCGGGGGGGGGGGGGTATTGCGGGATAAAGCTACGCCCGCAAGATGATAACCCTATAGCCCACTTACGGCGACTGATACGAAAGACATGAGAAATTTTATATGTTAGAGAGTATACCTATGAATTTGCGTTGTGCACCCTGTGGAATGGCGAGTGCCCGGCGCAGTGCCATTACACCACCGCGGACTACAGGTAACAGTTGTAGCTGTTAATTAACAATAAAAGGATGGAAAACACCCATAAAACGCGTAGGGGTTCTATGCCGATTGTGACTAAGGCCCGTATGCACGTACATCCCCGCGGGGAGGGGATATGCGCTTAACCATTGAAATGATCCCCGCTGGGGATCCCCTTCCCTCCCCGCGCGAACCCCCGTATGCACAAAGACAATATCGGACAAGGGATCCCCCATGGGGAGGGGAAGTGAACCCTCTTATGCACAAGAGGGGATCAAGCGGGGAAATCACCTTGCTCTCAAATTTTCTATGAAAAACTCTTTCTTATTTCATATTTTGACTGCAACTCATCTTCATCTCTTCACTTTCATTAATTTAGGGTTGCGGAATGTGCGCATGCAGTGACTGCGCTCGGGGCACTAAAAATGATTTTTTCTACTCCGATTATGTTCCTGCTTTCTTGGATGCTGCCCACTTTCGCTCATGCTGCTCCATTTAAGCGTAAAAATATTGAACTATGGAAGTTGATGTTCTTTGCAAGGGAATGGGTAGAAGACGTTATGCTGCCGAAAAGGGGGGGGGGGGCCGCGCGGACGCTCAAAGCGTATTCTAAGCGCAAAGTATTCTAACACGTAACAGAAGCTGCAGATTGTGCCAGCTCTCCATAAACGCTGTAGCTATCAGCTGCATATCATCCTTTATCCCAGGGGAATGATCCCCAGCAGCCATCCCTGCTATGCACAAGGGGAACGCTGGGGAGGGGATCACTCCCCAGGGGATTTCTACTCAGAAATAGGCAAATATGCTACTTTCTAGATTTTTTCGAGGCAGCTTATGTTAAAATAACAAGATAATGGCAACATGTCATGAAATATGAAAGCTACAATGTTTACTCAGCCTATATAGTTAAAACTATTATGTTATATGAAAAATGCGCAAATTTTCTGAATGATCAAGAACTCCTACAAATAATCGAAATTGGCAGCTATTATTGCTCGGATTTCTTCTCAAGAGGCGAATATAGAAAAGAAAGACAAATTGCAAGCCACAGGTCGCTGAGAGAAGAACCCGACTTTCAAAGAAAATCCTTTATCAAAATGAACGAAATGCTTGGTAATGAGTGAGCAGAACCAGAATATCCGCGTCTCTGGCATGATCTACACCATCGAACCCCTACTTCGTTGCAGGGGATGTCGATCCCCTCCCCCGCGTTATTGAGCTGAATTCGCGCATACGGGGTTCGAGTGGGGGAAGGGAAGGGATCCCCTCCCCCATTCGAACCCCGTATGCACTGGGGTTCGCTCGATCAATACCTCTGAAACCATTCACCCATCCCCGCTTAGGTGCAGGGGAGGGGATCGCTCCCCTCCCCTCTGTCATGGCGGGGTTCGGCGGAGGGGATCATTCCCCTGGGGATCCAGCTCCCCTCCCCTCCCCAGCGGGGACGTACGTGCATACGGGCCTAAGAAACTAGCTCGTGTGCAATGTTGCCGTTGCACTGCACCGCTGTTGTCGTCACGCAGGTTATTTACGAGTGCTTTCAGATAAAAGACAGGTGCGTACTCGCGCTGGCAATCAAATCGGGCGTTGCTTTTGGTGCAGAAATTTACCTTGGTGCTCCGCTCTTCGAACAATATTGCGTCAGTGTAGACTTCTCAGCCAAAAGTGTTGGATTTGCTAAAGTGGACACCTCTACTCCTGCCACTACTAATCCAGCAAATTCTACTCCTACCACTACTACTTCCGCAAACGCTACTCCTACCACTATTACTTCTGCAAACGCTACTCCTACTACTACTACTTCCGCAAACTCTACTTTTCCTACGTAAGTAAAGAGTAATTTCTACAGCTTATATTTTTTATGCTTACGCTAGCTTACGTGCTTCTAAAATTACTCGTCCTTATGTTAGGTTGGCAAATAAATAAATTCGTTTGGATCCGAATTTTCTAGTTCCGTCCTCGGCTTATTAGTGCGTGCAGACGAGCAATTTGGTGATTGTATACATACAGCCTTTGGCTGAATAGTGAACACAAGACCAAATTCATTTTCTGGCCAACCTAATAGATCAAAACGTTAATCAGATACACTTCTCCAAACACTTTGAGTTTCTAGTATGCCCAACAGCTTGGCTTAGAATAAATTTTTTCAGGTCGTGGAACACTAGATTGGAACCATCCCTACTAGCTCTACTGATGTTACCGCTGCTTTCGCTGTTTATCTAATAGACTCCTCGCGCCTTATGATCTATGCTACCCATCCTACTCTCCTGCTAACCCAAATTATGTCCATTGCTATTTCTGAAACGTTTATGTAATCACATTGCTTTACTGGTCTGTAATAAGCCCGAAACTCAATTATTTTACGCTTACATCACGTTTTATAGCTGAAGATTTTTGAAACATTTTGGAGCCGTTTTGTGTCTACAGTGTAGAGGAGCCTTGCGCTATTACATCGTAGCAGTTGCATTGGCCAAGAAATAAGGAAAATGTTTGAATGGCAATGCGCGTCGGTGGTCGTCTTGCCCTTGCATTGCATTTGTGAGCTAAAGACGCTTAGTGGTATGCGGCAAGGCTAATCTGCTTCCACAAAGCTTTCTGATAAACGTCTGTTTCAGTTGATTGACAGAGTTTTAACTTGTTTTGAAGTGAGTTCCTCGGTCTTCTTCCACTCGTGTGTACGGAAATTTATACAGAGTTTTTTCTAGCATGCCCCATACTCAAGCCTTTGCTTAAATGTAAATAATTCTTCTTAAACATTCCAAAATTTTCCGCTTTTAGTATTTTGCAGCTGAAAACTTGCTTTATCATGCTGCACGTTTTCTGCATGTAGACTTTTCCTGCAAATGCAGAACAAATTTTCAAAGCCACATTTAGGTGTTGCGACAACTTCGTCGCGGGCTATCACGTAATTTAAAGCCGCATGTAATTTCGAGCAGTACTATTGTGCAATAATGAGATAATATCGAAGCAGAATAGCTTTTTACCTATGGTTGCGTCTATCTTCCACGAGTTTGGCTTTCAGGGTACACGGCAAATGTTGTCGCACCATTTGGTGGCCGAGGTGGTTATTGATCTTGTGATAATGAAAAGGGGAACCCGACTGCGTATGACAAGAACGAAAGCTATGAAATGCAGTGTTCTTCAACACCGCTTGTCAGTGACCAAACATGAAGAGATCTCCAAGTCGTTGTTTCCTGTTCCGGCACACATTCGATGTGATCATGGTGCGGTAGAAAGAGTTCTCAGAAGGAGAAGAACTTAAGATGTAACTTGATCAATTTCTAACACCTCGAACTAGAACTACTGGGCAAACTGCCTAAACAAAACTGCCTCTGAAAGTAAATATCGCTGCCAATTTCCGATGGTGTGCGGACCATATGTAAAACTTGCTGACATACCCGGCTAAAGCTGATTCATTCATAATCAGCGCCCTCACTTATCCCCTACACTAACTCCGAGTCTTGTAGCTCAAAGTTTTCCAAACGATAAAATCAGTAAAGTTTTTTATTCGTTATTAGCACCTTCACTTACCCTCCCCCCTCTCACACCACCTTGCAGCCTTTATCATTTACGAAATACGATAAAATAGATATAGTAAATGTTTATTTATAATCAGCCGTAAGATAAACCCCCATTCGCTAAAAATCTTTGAAAATAGAATTAAGGCAATTGTGCAGTACACCTTTTACGAGACTGCTTAACATTGTGGATCTTTGCGGATCAAAACCACGAGCAGGCTAAAGAAGTGTTGTGTTAGTGATTCTAAATGATCAGTTGCCTCATACTGATCTGCACTCGCGCAATCGATCGTAACCTCAGAGTGCGCGGGAAATGAGCGCTATAAAAGGCGCTCACTCATAGCCTCAGTCAGTTCGGGTTCCTTCATACTACGCCGCGCACGCCGCGTACGCCACGTACGCCGCGTAGCCGCTGCAGCGCAATGAAAATATGCTCAAATATGCTCACGGCAGCGGGGGACGGTCAGGAGGTACGATCGGCGCGAATTTTTCGCGAAGCGACGCCGCAACGTAATTCAGCCCTTACAGCAGCAGCGCTCCTGGAGCGGTCTTACTTACAGCATTAAATCATGTATCTGTCCCCATCCTCACCCCCTGTTTTTGCCGCCGGGAATCTCTATTGGCGGAGAGTCTTGGAGGCCCCAAGATTTGAACGCGGCGTCGCGGAAGAGCGGCCGCCGCGCGCGGCGTACCTCCTGATGTGCAGCCCACGGCAGAGAGCTCCACTTTTATTGGTGTATCTCTATAGTTGCTGCACATTCGTGTCCCTCAGTAGTGTTTCTTCACATTATGCATTTTTTCCTGTCTTTTGCTTTGTTTATCTTGTCTATCCTTTGTCTATATCAATGATTAATGGGATGACTTAGGTTGTTGTGCTCCCTCTACTTTCGAGTTTCACATTTTGTATCGTAACTGACTGCACAATGCGTCATCTGGTTTATACTGGTAGTATATGGTTGTATGGTTGTATCTTGTATCTGGTTGTATATCTGCGCTGTTAACATCTCCTTACAAACACATCATTGGATGAAAAGGATTTCTCTTCTTCATACTGTTAGACTGCAATTGCAAATTTGATGCGCCGTTGTTGCCGCAGTTTGTTTTCTTCGCTCACAAAACACCATTCAAGTTTTGGCGCTGACTTCACAGTTCACAATGCTAACGTATCTGGAGTCAAAGCTGTACAGAAATAAATGATGAAATGAAGCTCGTAATAATAAGCAATTATAGAGATGCATAAAAAAAGTGGAGCTCTGCTGCCTTGGGCATATTTCCGTTGCGCTGCAGCGGCGTGGCGTAGTATGAAGGAACCCTTCTAGACGTTGTTCACTAATTCGCCTCTCATATTTATTGCCTCTCAAATTCTACAGTTTGCTCTTCTATTACTCTTTAATAAATTTTCCTGTCTGCTCCTGTGCCGTCTAACAGTCCAAGTCTTCGAAGTGTCCGGAGTGGAGGACACAACCAGAAGAATATGCCTTCAACATATTTCCTTTTAGTGTATGAACTCGGACCATAAGCATGAATTCGATAGCTGTTTGTTTGCTGATTTGGTGCCAGTAGTATTAGCAGTGTGAACTATCTCATTGATCGAAAAATCAACCAATCAAAATCCATATCTGATTGTAAACCGTCGCAAGGAGTTCGATGAATGCGAGCCATACAGTTTAAAGGTGATCATAGCTCCAAAAAGATGCATTATCGAGTTTTGCGGAAAAAAATGCAGACGAAGCGAGCTGTAACTCAGCAATTGGCTTTGCAACAAACTCAAGTAATTTCAATACGGATTTCATTCGACGAACTCGAATAAAACATTTGAATAAAATCTGTTCAAAACTCCCTTTTTTGACTATTCGAGTTCTCGAATTTGAATCAAATCCTCGTTTTTTGATGTGATTGGTGAAATGTAAGCGTTTGAAAGCTCTTAATCTCTTCCATTGAAGTGCCTACTTCGTTTTTTTATCGATTTGAGAATAAATGTGCCGATTTTGTCGGCACCTACTCATAAGTATCATTGCCACCATAGTAGCATAAAGGTCATGCATAGGCATGAGCTGCTGTAATTGAAGCATCAGTGCCCGGACATATCTATGTTTAATGGCTTTGCCTATGGTTGTCAGCATTCTACCTGCCCGAATGAGGGCATGTTGATGTCTCGATAAAGCAAATGACTTATGTGTACCGTAACACGCGGGAACCACCATACTCCACTCCATACAGGCGTCACTCCTCAAGGTTTATAAACCCTAAATAATTACCTAAATAATAATTACTTACTTACTTACTTAGACGGCCCGTCCTCACGTGACGTGCGGGCCCCAGTACATAAGTTGCCATTGATCCCTGTCCCTCGCTTCGGACATCCACGATCTTCTTGGTCGTCGTCGGTGGCTGCGTCCACGAGTTCCAGGGGCGAGAATCGTATCCAGCTGATTTCTCAGCTGGTCCATCCGTTCCACGAACACGTCTGCCCATCTCGTTGGTGGTCTTCCTCGAGGACGTTTGGCTTCGCGAGGAATCCATTCAGATGTTCTTAGTGTCCATCTATCGTCCGTTCTTCTCATTATGTGACCGGCCCATCGGTGTTTCGCTTCCGCAACGTCTTCCGCTGGGTCACGAAGACGGGACATTCTTCTCATATCCGTGCTGCGAAGTCCGACTAGATGTTGCTTGTGTCAGGTCATCTTCAGAAGACTGCGCTCGAGCGCTCTGTGGGTGGTCCTTAAAGCTTTCGACGTGGCTATGGTGTCAGCCGAAGTCTCAGCTGCGTAGCAGAGCGCTGGGAGAACGGTTGAGTCGAACAGGTGGGCACGAAGCTCCGTCCGTCAGTTGGTCGGTGGCTTTCTTCAGAGGCCCGAAGGCGGCCGAGGCTGCTCTTCTTCTCCTGTTAAGTTCTTCCCTCAAGTCGTTCTCCATGTTCATCGAACGTCCGAGATACACGTAGGAAGACGTCTCCATGATAGGGACACCTTCCAATTCTATTTCTGCATCTTCGCAAAGGGCGTTCTTCATGAACTGAGTCTTCTTCCGATTTATTCGCAGTCCGATCCTCTTCCCTACTTCATCTAGTTCCTTCAGCATCGCCTCTGCTTTAGTGATACTGCTCGAGAAAAGGACGATGTCATCCGCAAAACGAAGGTTGGATAGGAACCTTCCATTAACTGGTATGCCTCTCTCGTCCCAGTCCAGTGGCTCCATACCCACTGCAAGACCGCGGTGAACAGCTTCGGCGAAATTGTGTCGCCTTGTCGATCCCTCTTCCCAATTGGAATGGTTAGGGGGCGATGGAATAGGTGCATCGTTGTTGTACAGTCCTTGTAGCAGTCGGCTAGTAAGCTCACGTAAGCTGGTTCCACTCCTTGATCGACCAGCGCAGACAGGATGGCGTTGGTTTCGACGCTGTCAAAGGCTTTCTCGTAGTCGACGAAGGTTAGGACGAGAGGCAGTCGGTACTCCCGGCAGACTTCTATTCTCGAAACTGTCTGAATATAGTCCATGCAGCTGAATCCTTTGCGAAATCCAGCTTGTTCTTGGGGTTGGGCTTCATCCAGTGTCCTAGATATGCGTGCGAGGATAATCTTCGTGAAGAGCTTGTACAGCACACTCAGCAGGCATATTGGACGATAGTTCCGAAGATCCTCTCGTTCACCCTTCTTAAAAAGAAGGACGGTTTTTGACGTTCTTCACTGGTCGGGAATCCTCTCCTTCTGAAGATAAGATGTCAGGTGCGACGCGAGAATCTCGTGTAGACGTTGTCCTCCGGCTCGCAGAAATTCGACGGAAAGATGGTCTGGTCCTGGAGCCGTGGATGTCTTCATGGTCTGAATCGCCGTGCGCACTCCAGCAGGTAGAATTCGTGGTGGTACTTTTTCGGTGGGAACAACGGGCATCGGAACGGGTGTTGATGAGCGGAAGAGGTTGGTATAGAAGTTCTTCGCGATCGATTCCATCTTGTATCGGGAAGAAGTCGGAGTCCCGTCTTCGTTCAGTAGTGCAGCCAGCGGTACGTGATATTCGCAGAGGTCCCTTCGACACTTCTTGAGGCTTCGTCTTCTTTCGGCTGCTTCCAGTATCTTGACTTGCCTGTACTTCCTGAGATCCTCTTGCAAAGCTGTTCTGCAACTGGCGTTGGCTATCAGTCGCTCGAGATGGGTTGCATTCGGATCCTGCCTCAGAAATCTTCTTATTTCGAGCAATTCCTTGGTGGTCTTCGAAATACGTTCCAAGTTCTCCTCAGAAGTCACTGAGGCACATTCTCCGCAGACTCGCAATCCTTTTAGAAGTAGGTCGTAGTCGTACGTTAGGTCCTCCTCGATGGGCCAGTCACATCTTGATATGAGCTCCTCCAGCCTGTTACCGTCATAAACGACTTCCATCCTTCTCGCGGCACTGTGACAGACTTTCTTTTCCAGCCTTCGGCTGAGTCGTATCTTCGCTCGAAGGGGGCGGTGATCGGAGTCACTGCAGAAGGATGGAACTACTGAGACATTGAGCAAGCTCCAGCTTCGGTTGGTGAGAATGTGGTCGATCTTCGCATGAGTCATTCCGTTGGGCGATTCCCATGTCCACCGGCGATGTTCTTTCTTCATGAAGATGGAATTTCCATGAAAGAGTCGTACGGCGGAGAGAAGCCCAGCGAGACGGTTGCCGTTTTCGTTCCGGAGCCCATATCCAAACTTCCCGTTCCTATATTCCTTTTCTAGTGGTATCCCGATTTTCGCATTGAAGTCGTCCACAACATACTTGTAGAGGGACTTTTCGTTGCGGACGACCTCCTCCACGTCTTCGTAAAAAGCATCTAGTTCTGAGTCGTCAGCTGCTGATGTTGGAGAGTAGCAGTTGATGATGCTGATGGTATTCTGACGTGGAGGGCGTAGTCGTAGGAGGGTAATCGGGGTGATAGGATCTCGTGCGAATCGACAAGATGGACGATAGATGGGTGGACGACAAAGCTAGCGCCTCCAACGTTTCGTGAGGAACCTTCTCACCACGAATGATGAGCGTCCCATCATTCATCTGTCGCACGTCCTTCTTCCTGAACTTCGTTTCCTGCAGAGCGATGGATGTGGTAGTTGATGTGCTCTGCAGCGTCGAGAAGAGCGTGGAGGTCGGCGTTTGTGGAGACTGTCCTAGCGTTGTAGGTGCAGAGCACATGAGGCAGTCTCCGTGGCGTGTCGTCCGGGCAGACATGTCGTTTTTGTCCAATCCAAAAGGCGCCCTGAGGACCCTGACATCAGTCTTGCTACCACCCGGCGCCGTAGGCGGGATCCGATGTGCAGGGTTTCTTTCTATTCTTCTAACTGGTAGAGTAATGAAATTATTCCCCTACAAGAGCAGACTTACTAGGCCAAGTCTTAATTTCCACGGGGCGATCGCTGTCCCCGGCTTGGAGCGGAGAGAACCGCCTAGCGACCTGAAAACCAGACGGCGGTGGATCTGGCCTGGCCGGCTCTTAGCTAGGCATCCGGCCGAAACCGGAAACGTCGAACTCCTTCACAGCTTGGGAGGCCCTGCCAGAGTATACACTCGGCTGTGCATCGCAGTTCGACACCCAGTGTCACCCCCACGCCACGATGAGGCGGCCGACCGTTGTGGGGGTAAATAATAATTAAGCCCAAATAGTTGTTAATTTATGAGTACGTAGATATTCACAGTTGAAGGCCACGCGACTTAACTGCGCGAGAGGACGAACCGCCGTACTGAAAAGCCCTACTCCCTCAATCATCAAAAAATTGCATCAAACGTGCGCGAAGGGAAGGGAGCAAGCATAAACGGGGATAGTACTTGCAATGCAATTGAGCAATTATTCTGTTGCTTCGTTTGTTGTTACTTTCCTTAAGTATTTTTGTCAATAGAAAGTCAGAGAAAATGGGATGGAAAAAGATGACAAAAGTAGATTTTTGCGTTTTTGAATATTTCGTTTTGAGACAAAAAATTTTCCGGAATTCTCAGACTGAATGAATGACGAAACAAATTGAGCAGAAGAGGCTGAGGGGTTTCTCATGCATATGCAAGCTTTATCAGCCATTGCGCAAAATAGAGAAAAGCGACATCAAAAAATGCTGCAAAACCTACTACACATTTTAATAAATATGCAAATTACGGGGTTTTCTTACTTAGCTGAGTCATTTCGTTGAGGGAAGACCGCAACTGGCCTTTGGACTAAATAGATTGACTTCAGCACCTTCCGAAGACTATTTCTCGCTTCAAAGCTTTTGTTTGGCCCCGCCCTGGACGACGTCACACCTTTGGGCTTTTGTCCTGTGACTATGAAATTGCTAGGACCCGCGTCCTCTACTCCCACACCCTCTCGCCCGTAGTGTCTGGACATTGCCTTGGGTGACTTTGAAGTGGAAAGATACAAAAGTTTATCACACTCGTTTAACCACGATCGATTGTGAATAATGTTGTTAGAATGAAATGCTACCAGACCGATCCGATTCCAAAAGTTGGTCAATACCAGTAAGAGATTCTATTTCGCTGAGTTCTTCAACTGAAATTAGATGTGCGGGGATCAAAAGAAATATAAAAATAACAAGTCAAGTCTACCGTCATCTGGAGGCTTTTTTTCTGTCTCTCCTTTCTCATTCGTCGATGTTGTGGCCGGAATGGGGCTAGGTGATGCTATTGGAGTTTCCACTGATTGAGTGGAAGGACTTTTTTCCAGCTCTGAAATTATTGTACTAATACCCTTCACATTTTGAAAACTACCTCACTTACGTGGTATGTCAAAATCTATTGATTTTATAGATGTCAGCTGAGGTTTAGGACGAGATCCAGTTAGTGGTGGTAAATGTGAAGGCCTAAATTAGCAATACACTTGACCCACTATACAAAAGGTAGTCTGTTTTCTACCTGCTTGGTTGAGGTGTTGCCACAATGGTGTCCGTTGAAAGTTGATGTGCACTTGGTCCCCATAGACGTTTTGTCCAATTTGTAGTGATTACCTCCCGGAAAATAAAAGTGATGAAATATCAAATATCAAATTGTATCAATATTTTTTCATTCATAAGCCTATCTAGTTTGCTTTTGCATCATCCTATGGCAACAAAATAAGCCCCAAAAATTCAAATTTTTTGACTTTGAACAAACGTGCAAATGTGCTCACGGTTCGGATTCCGCAGTTGTTGAAGACGATGATGACTTCTCCTCACTGCCAGACTCCTCTTCATCTTCACCTTCCACCTCTTCATCGCTTACTTCCTCTTCTTCTTGCTAAAAACTTCATGTTAGGTTGCGGATAAAAACCCTTTTTGAACTGACGCTTTTGAGAGGCATTAATATATAATGCTATGGCACTGTGGCACTTGCAATGCAGGAAATTCCTTGAATGGCATTCTCTGATTGTGGCTAATTGCCCCTTCGGTTACTTCTTTAGCCCGCTCCAATCAAACTTCGCTTCGTGTGATTGCATACTTTTGATATCTGCTATGCGGCAGGCAGGGGATGAATATCGCGATCAAGGCAGCGTGCAAAACGATAATAAAAAGACACAAAATAATTTTAAAGTTAGAAATTGTAGTTACGGACATTGGGCCGTGCAAATTTGGGATGGGTGGGGGGGGGGGGCGGATATGAGACAACACCTGCAGAAAAACAAGCAGTCTGACTATCTTCGCGTCATTATACGGGGTGCCCCATAATTAATGTACAGACTTTTTGTCATATGTTCCCTCGAGGTTTTGACCCAAACTTCAAGTACCAATCGGTAGAGCTGGCTTGAGCTTACGTTACAGTATGGAGCTTTTCGTTATTGTAGGATCACGGTGGAAACCTTGAAAAGTTTGAGCCAGGACATAATTTGTTTAGAAACTAAACTAAAAAGCATAGCAACTATAATTCAGCCCGTGGTACCCGCTCTGTTCACCGCTAAGTCTATTAAGGCTCAGAAGAAGGCGACGACGCCAAAACGTAAGCCCGATCAAAGAATTTAATTATCTTGGCGCAAGGCTCTACAATCAATTCAAAAGTAAACTAAAAAGGCCAAATCTCACTCCAGGCTAAATGGAGTCACTGAGTTCAACTACTAAATTTAAACTTATCTGTAATCGCTCATAACACATATCAGTACACCGTAACAGCAGTTTTTTCATTGTTAGTCAAAATTATGACCACATGTCTAAATAGCTTTGGAGGTTTGTCCAAGATTGTATGACAAAATCAAAATGCCTGAGAGCCCTGCTACACAGCTTCCCAGATTTTCTGCAAACCTAAAGGTGATAAAAAAGTTTGTATAAAGAGAGATATTCACAATCAAAATTTTGTACATACTTTTGTAACACTCCGTATATCGTGTAGAAAATCTAGAAAATTACGGTGTGGTACTGCAACTTTCATTTTTCTTGAGAAAACGCTATAGGGTCTATTTTAGGGGCAAAAATTGATATTGTCTTCTTTCGTATTAGGTTACATTGTGCAAAATCAAAGTATTGTAAATTCACGCAAATGCTGAAAGTGAAAAAGAAGGCCATAGTGTAATAGTAGCCAGAGAGAATTTTTCTGTAATGTTTGATAAGTCTCATAACTTTCGGACTATTTCAAAGTAGTGTAATCTACCAGTGAAAGTGTAATAATTCTCTTACAAGGAAAGGATACTTGGTGACCCCGGCTATTCGGTATGCGATGTATACCATAAGATGCACCCCGAAAAGCTGATTCTAAATCTGTGCTCAAAACCTGCGAAACGATCATATAAAGGCAGTTATGAACTTTTCGTAAAAAATTTCCGTACTTGTAAGTACGTTAAAATTAACCAGTTTGATCTATTTTACCGTTTGAAGCTATTGGCGAGAATCTTGAAAGGTGTACGTTGTATTTATACCTATCTAAATCATATTCAGCATTTAAAGAGGAAAGAAAAATTTTTATCAGTGATTTTCACCCTCCGCATTGAGCAATTCCTTCAATGTAAAATAATTATAACTCCATCCAGGTTCTCGTTTCGCAGATATGGAAAACAGTATCCGAACCAGCATTAAAAGGCGCGTTTTTTATATACAAACCATTACGAATGGCCGGGGTCACCAAGTATCCTTCCCTGTTTAGAACACTCTTGAATTTAAAAAGAAATAGTATTCAGAGTAAAGGAACCAATGTTATTTACATCACTGATTGAATCTATTATTTGAACCTTCCACTATTCGAAATTTCCAGCATTCTCTTTAAACTGTAAAAAAGCTCACTTGTCTCAGCTCCTGCTTCTTCTCCACCGATTCTTTGGCAAATTCCATGACAGATCCTCTCAGTGATTCTTTTGTATCTTCAAACTCTCCGTCCGGTTTGGGTTTAAAAATGTTCAAGGGAGGTGTCTCATTTGTCTTCACAATCGCTCTCTTCAACGGCAGGCCTGCTTTCGCTTGGAACTTCGCTAGACTTTTCGTTACTGAATCATCTTCATACGATTCTATGGTCTGATGTAGGTAATCTCTTGTCAGGAACTTCTAAAAATTGCTCTTAAAGCAGTTTCAGCTGTTCTTGATTTTACTCACCTCATAGCATTCTGCTTGCATAACTTCCGCTGCAGCTTTATAGCCGCTGCTGTTGAGAAAGTGGTAGATCATAGAATGACAAATTAGATCTGAATTTGAATATCAGCTCATTGCCCGTGGCCCATGAAACTCTCAAACCTTGGTCACTGAGCTTCTTGACTTGCAGTGCCGCTTCCGGACGAAGGATTCTCAGCACAGATTCTCTAATAAGGCTCTGAAAAAACATCATAGATAATCTTAAAGCCTATCTCTTCAATTTTATCTTATTTATGTAGTTCAGGGACAAAAACTCCATATGTACCTCCATCTGGGCTATGTACGAAAATTCCGGTGAGATTGATGGTGAAAAAAAAACACTATTAAGATCTTGTTTCATAGGATCGCACATCTAGTTTTCTTTCTTATAAGTTTGTATTATGAACATCTGCATTGGAGTCCAGATTCTTTCTCTGTCAATTTAAAAATGCAAATGAATGAGATTTGAAACAGTATTGAGGAATAGACAGCAGTAAAAATGTATAGATACATTGTCCGAATATTTACGTCTTCTTTTATATTCCTTAGCCATTTTAAATCACAAACTCATTCTTTCTTGCCGAAATTCATCCACTACTAATAATTCCTTTGAAACATTCTTCAAAACCGTGATAATGAAGCTAGCTGTGGAAGCAAAAACTCCAGCGGTTTTTTCAATCAGTTATGAGAGTTCTGGAAAGTTTCAAAAAAAGTATTATAGCTAAATTGTAAGAAGTTTGAGACATAACATAAAGCTTGTAGTTCTTATCCTTGAAACCAAAATAAGTATTTAAATTGCAGTGACCCATGTATGCAAAAAACTCATACTGTTTGCTATATACATAGCAAAGTGAGTGACTATGCAAAGCCAATTTTTTGAAAAAAGAAGTTGCATGAATTCTGAAAGCTAGAGAAGTTGCAATCCAGAAGTTCGGAGGAGAAGATCGTGCAGTTTGTTAACGTAAAGAAAAAGTCAGTTGTGAACTTTTTTATACGGGTATCAGCTCCGGGAAGCAAGCAAAGCTTAAGAGGATCCCAATGTTCCAGAAATCGAGATTTTTCGTTCCTTATCTATTTGAAAATGACTGTGCAGTGCTTCGTTGTAGACGTACTAAACAAAAGAACACCGCCATATCAAGTGGTTATAAAAAATATGCATTTGCTTAGAGGATACGGTGGTTGAAGAGCTGTCAAGTTAGTGTGTGATTTTGGCGATTGCTTATCAAAGAGCAAAAAGTGGTTTTCGAGCCTGCAGGATTTGGCAGTTTATAAAAAAGGGTTTTGAATCAGACATTATGTGCGTTATTATAAAACTATAGTACAACATCATCTGAGCTTGTATTAGTGCGTGGCTGTGATGTCTGCGGTAATTTTTGTGTAAGTTGAGCCGAAACTGTAGGTAATTATAGGGGGCAACAGCACGATTAGAAGAGTAATTTGGATATTCCAACCACAAAGAGTTTAGTGTGAACGTCAAAATGGATAACTTAACAAAAACTCACAAGGTTTTGTGCTACGTAATGCTTGTCTTGCACCCAAATTTTGATGTTACTTGAATATAATTTTTTTTCCAGTGAGACCGTCGCAGATAACTGCTCTGTCTCACTTTTCAAAGACTATAATCCCTACTACCTAAAATATACTGTTGCAGACTACAAAGACGAAATGCGAGTTATATATTCCATGCAGAGCTTGGCGCGAGGTGGCTTCCCGAAATTGCAAAAAACGATGTTCCCTTTGACAATAATTCTTCTTCGGACAATCTGCCTCACTTTTTTGTAATTTTCCTCATTAAACAATTCCAATTAACATCCGACTACCAAAAAACGTAGCAGGGAAAAGTAGGTCATAAACCGTACTACTAACAGTTCAATTTTTGTTCCAGGTTTGCAGTTCTAGCGAGCTAGACAAATCAAAAGTTGAATAAACTTTTTGCCTTTTATGACTTAGAGTGCATGTTTTCTTCTTTCTAAGGCCCGTATGCACGTACATCCCCGCGGGGAGGGGAAGGGATCTAAAAGGGGAAGCGTCATATCTCGCTAGTCTATAGAGATCTTTCTTCTTCTTTCTCTGTCTTCCTTTTGAAGGTTCTCGTACACTGATACCTGCGCATAACGGATGCCAGGTTACTGTCATACAAGATTAAATATTCAATATTTCGTCTGATCCCCTGAGGATCCCCAGGGGATCACCTCACACTTTCCAAGTCATTTATCTTCTTGAAAACTCAATCAAAATGCTCTAAAATTGTACTGAGGATATATAACAGCACTGCTAAACATGTTTATGGTGGAAATGAGTGAAATCTCAAGATATCAAAATCTTCGATGAACCGCTGCTCTCGAGCCAGGAATCATCGAAAAATTCACAACTTTCAGATTCCATTTCTTCTGTCGAAAACATGCTCAGCAGTTTCGTAGTATATCTTCAGTACAATTGCAGCGTTTTCATTGATTTTGCAGGAAGATAAATGACTTTGAATATGTGAGGTGATCCAGTGGGGATCAACAGGGGATCAAAAAAAAAATAGCGAATATCTAATCTTGTATGGCAGTAATCTGGCAGCCGTAATGCGCAGGTATCAGTGTATGAGAAACTTCGTAAGCAAGATAAATAACGAAGGAGAAAGATATGTAAACTGGCGAAATATGACGCTTCCCCTCTCAGATCCCCTCCCTTCCCCAGCGGGATGTACGTGCATGCGGGCCTAGGTGTCAAGCAAATTTTTGCGATACAGCAAGAAGTGACAGATTCTCAAAAAATGGCAACTGAGCTTCAATTCGTCTGATAAAAAATCTCCCAGCGTTTTGCAGGGGACTGCTGGCAGTGAACAATTGAAAAAGCACTACTATAGTGAAGCAGGAAATTCACAATAATCACAAAGGTCTATAAGAAATAGCGCAATATGCATACCTGAATGAATTTGAAGACTTCTGTTTCGTGTAATTGTTCAAGAATATGGTTCGCTGCATCCTTCTTGAACTCTGCGCTCATCGCAATTTTCAAGCAAAAATTGGGATTATTTAGAAAATATTGATAGAAGGATAAAGATTCTGCAGCCCTGTTTAGAATCAATGTTGTTTCACGCTGTCGTTGCTACGGAAACCTGGCAGCCGTCGTTATGCACCGGAACCACTATAGACAATAGATTTGCAATGTTTCATTTCGATTACTCGCCTGGATGAGCTGTGTGCACATTGGTTGCATCTATATATGTGCCTAATCAAGCTTGACATTACAATGATATTCTGTTTTAAGAACGTTGTAATGTTCACATTACCAAGATCTTGGTAACTATTGGAGTAGCTTCAATCTTTTAACATAGGAAGAAATCTGGTCTATAAGCTGATACTGGTAGTAGTGTTAAAAAAATAGAAACAATCGTTTGCGCAGAGAAAAAATATGGAAAAAAGAAATTGGGATCTTTCCATAATGATGATACCTCAACGCACAAGTAATATACAGGGTGGCCAAAAAGTATGAGCGTCACTTTTTCGTCTAACTATTTTTCATAGCAAACAAAATTCTGCAAGATTATTCTTCATGCCAAAAACACAGGCTCTTATTAGTGTGTTACTCCTGCAAGACTGGATTTCTGCACATGCACACAGACTTCAGCAGCTTACCTTGAAGTCGCTGCGTCAAAAATGCTACTTGAGGAATGTACCCATGGCAGATCCGTTGAAATAACCCGATAAATCGAATAGATTCTGTGACCTAAGGTTTTGTAGAACAGAGTCCCAGGAATAACACGGTGCCGTAACAGCAAAAATTCTTCTCTCCAAAATAAGATACGGTAGTATAATTGTGGTGTTAACTGAACGCGCCGTAGTGCTTCTTAAGAGAATATAGACTTAGGAGTCCCGTTTGCATCAGAAGACTTCAGTTCGTGTGATTTTCACTTATCTCAATATAGAGACTGTCCATAAGCTACAGGCATGTTAGCCGCCATGATAGAATATTTCAGAAAAATATATATTACATATTGTAACGCCCATACTTATCGGCTACCCTGTATATGCATGTAAATTTTCAAGACTTTGTAAAATGATTTATTCTAACCTTTGGTGTTACTGGACCATGAAATGTGCTGCAAACAATTCAGAGTCATGTATTAGGTCGTTCCGAAAGTAATGTCGCTTTTTTCAAACGTATGCACATCTCGTGGAACAGAGATATGTTAGAGGTTCTGGAAGCATTTGACGCAGCATTTCATTCTCTTTCTAATAGTTATGAAGATGTTGCAATACAGTCAATGAGCTTCCAGAAAAGAGTCAAAATCGAAAAAGCGACCTATGCTTTTTAAGATGGCCAAATTTCACAATTTTTCTAGAATTTTATAACAAAACTCAGAAGGAGTGCAAGTGATGGATGGATAGAGCAAACCATCAGAAAACAGCACAACTTTTTTCTACTTTTCTGAGCTCGTCATAATTTTTGTACAGATTTTTTGATGGAACAACTGAATTTTAGTAGGCTCGTCTCAGACACAAGTGCATCAAAAGCCAACAAGTCTTCGGATTTTGAAACTTACAAAGATGGATTATGGTTTGGCAACAATTTTACAAACCAAACGAACATTCACCGCTTCGGTTTAGCAACTTTCGAAAATTTCGGGTACACCTTGGGATGCCTTGGAAAAGTTGATTATGATGTATCCCGGAAAACTTGATGGATCGGAAACAAAAAATCACCGCTAGAAAGAGGAGAAAAAGCTGCATCGAATGACACCCGAGTCGCTTGTCGGTTGTTGTTCTGTGAGGTTTGACTTGACTAAATATGGAATTTGATGGCATGGCATTGAGAAATTGATTGTAGAGAAGCAAGCTAAGGAAAAGAAAAAATTACTCCGTGCTCTGTAGTGTTTGCTCTATCTTGCCACTTGTACCTTTTCGGAGATTAAGTACAAACATTTAGAAAAATAGCCGAACTTGACCATGGCAGCATGACTCACAGATTTTGGTAATTTTTCGAGAGCTCATTGAACATTGTGCAGTGAAATTGCAACTACTAGAAAGAGGATGAAATGCTGCATCGAATGCTCCTAAGATCTTTTAAAAATATTGATTCCACGGATAGTGGCGTTCATTCGAAAAAGCGACATTACTTTTGGAACGACCTAATAGAATTTAGTGCAAAGGGGCCGATAGTCGAGTCCAATAACCTAGGAAAGCTCTTTATTCCAGCAATTTTTTTACTGTGCTGTTTTAAAAAGAAATAATTATAAAAATGAAGAATTGCCCAAAAATATCCAGAAAACCACAGAAGTGCTATGAACCTCATGGCATATGACATGGTCCAAGCGCGATGAGATACCGGCAGATTGCACTCCCCAAAAAGCACGCAATTTTCCGTGCTCTTCTGACCTGAGGGCGAGATGCCGGCAGATTGAGGAAGAGATCGCGCAGAAATCCCGACAGAACAGCTCACAACGTTGCCAGTAGGTCAATCTTTTGGGTCCAAAATTTGAGGTTGCCGGGATGTTTCGCATTTTTTCCCGATTTTCAAATGGTGCCAAGCTTTGAGCTGGGCCGTCAGACCTGGAGAGTGCCAGATTGATTGCGTTGAGGAATTTAGAGAAAGCGTTGGCAGTTTTTATGACCTGAGGGCGAGATCGCGGCGAATTGAGGGCAACTGCCGGCAGCTAAGGTGGATTACTACCACTCTTAAGTTTTGGCGTTTATATCGTATTCTTTCAAGTAAACTTGTTAGCGAATGCTCCCCATCTCATTTGGCACTTATCTATAGTGTCGTAGTAGTTCTCGGTTAACATCAATTAATTAGCGTTCCAGAAGAGCACAGCATGAGATAACCGACTTTCGAATGCCTACATACAAAGATGACCTTAAGATGCCTCAAAAATTTGGGCAAGCTCGAATACTAGGCCTTAAGCTTAGAAAATGGTAAGGAAATCCTCGGACCTCTCATAACCGTCAAGCAACCGTAACCGTCACGTCGTCTAGTAGCGCGCATTGTATAGCGCGTACCAGGTTACAAACGGCCTGAAGGCATATCACGAGCTACTGCACGACTTGTAAGATTACAATATTTTCATCTTCAGGATTTCCTGCGTTTTCCCCTTTTGGAATGGGGAGTTACTAGGAAGGAGCCGTTGGTTGCCACACGCAGTGTGCAGCTCACATATTGGAATTATATGTGCAGCTCACGAATGACTTGCGCATATCTCGTTATTTTCATCAAGCTGGAATTAACTTGAATGCCCATAATGTTTATTGCAAGCTGTAATTTGATACATCAAACTAATGTTTCAGTTTCACTTCGACTTCTCTAGCGATAGCATTTCGGAAGGAGCTGCTACCTCCAACAAATCTTGCTTCTTTTCCCTCTCACCCCAAAACAGGAATGGCTAAAGTTTATTGGTAGAGAATTTTGTATAGACAATTGCAAAAGGTTTATTACCCGCTTAGCAGTATCCTTCTTAATCAGAAATGGACGGACAACTCCAACGCAAAACAGATAGCACAATCCCATAAACCATAACAAACATATTGGTGCAGCACATACATCGAACCAAGCCAATTTCTGAAATAAATGTTAGATAAAGTTCGTTCAAACTGTTGCGCTTAATGCCATAATTCTTAAACACAGACTTTCAGCTAGTTAGCTCAGAGAGGAGACTGGATTACATGTGTAATAGTGCTAAAAGTAAAAAATAATGGTTTTTTTTAGAATTGCGCACATCGAATTGAGGAAGTTAATGCTATATCATTACTTAATAATAAAGCGCTTAGACCGTCTGTCTGTTTGTCTGTGTGTATATCTATCTGTCATGAAATTCATAGAGCAGGTTGCAGAAAACATCTCGAGTCACAAATTTGCACAACGCATGTCATCAGCATGTAAGTCCATTATTCAAAAGCACGAGAGAATTCGATGCGCGGAACTTACGAAAACTGCGAATCAAATGGGTTCTGCGAGTTGCGCACAAAACCAGAGATGTATTTGGACTTTTTACAAAATCAAGAACATATTTGACATGTATTAGGTTGGTCCGAAAGTTCTGTCCCTCCATTTTTAAAAAATCATAACTTCTTCCTAGCACGATATTTTTGCATGTCTAGAACCTTGTTGAAACAAGCAATTCATGCACTTGTTAAAACTCCCTTGGCTGTTATCTACTAAGCTCGCAATGCAGAGATAAAATTGGAAAAGGAAATTCACTTCAAATTCGGAATTTTTAAGCAGGCCCGTTAAAAAATCCAAAATTATCCTAGGTTTTCTGATCTCCTCTTTCTATTTGAGCAAACCGAGCCCTTCTTAGAAAGGTTATGATTTTCGAGAAAAAATGCCAAAAAATCAGTTTCTTAAGAAAATTGATTTTTTGAAATTTTCTTCAAAAAATCATAACTTTTGAAGTAACAGCTCGATCAGCGCGAATTTTGCTCAGCTGGAAAGAGAGGGAAAAAAGTCTAGGATGGTGGCTGTTTTGGATTTCATGGCGCAGTTTTGGATTTTTTAGCGGGCTTACTCAAAAAATCCGAACTTGAAGTGAATTCCTTTTTCAATTTTATCTCTGTATTGCGAGCTTAGTAGACCAAGATAGTTTTAGAAAGTGCATGAATTGCTCTTTCCAAAAAGGCTTTATCCATGCAGAAATATCATGTTAGGAAGAAATTATGATTTTTTGAAAATGGTGGGACAGAACTTTCGGACCAACCTAATATGTCGATAAGCCATTGATTTTAGCCCAAAAAAGTGACCCAAGTTTATTACTTCACGAATGCGGCTCCAAAAAGAATTGGCTGCGTAAATATTCAATTTGCCAAGACTTCTGATCATTTGTGGAGATTTTTGCACACAGATGTAGCCCACGATGATTAATGTCTTTAATGCGACTACCAGTCATCAAAAGTCCAAAAACTAGTTTGAAATTGCATTTGTTATTTTGAGAAAAGTTGGTTTCATCCACGCGAAATTACCGCTCTCACATGTAAAAGCTCTGGAAATGAATGGTTGTTTACAGGTTATTCGTGACCAGTGCGTCACCTCTGCTTCGCAGAGGCTCGTACTGGCTCTACTATCTATGTGCCTTACTCATTCTCGTAAAATCGTGGCACTGGAACTACTACCACGAATAGAATGTAAACAACCACTCATTTAGAAAGTATTTTCACGTGAGATCGGTGATTTCGCGTGGATGAAACATTCCGCAGGAAGACAAACGCAAATTCGAATAGGTTTTCGGATTTGTCATGGCTTGATAGTCGCCATAGAGGTAATAGTAACCGTGAGCTATATCTCTGTGCGAAAACCTTCTCAAACGCTTAGCTAGAACCTTGGCAAATTGACCATTTACACAACCAATTTTTTCTGGCGCCGTTTTCGTTATGTAGTAAACTTTCGACCACTTTTCCGGCTAAGCTCTATCGCTTGCACATTTGCTTACCAAACTCATCCACGACTCTGCAAAAAGCAATGATACGGACCGAATTTTGCGGTACAGAAGCCAGGTGGACCCGTTTGGCGCGCAATTTCTGAGGGATCCACTAAACGAATCTGCTCGTGCTCTTGCATGTTGGACTTTCATGCGGATAGCATGCACTGTGCAAAATTTGAGCCCAGGAGGTTGGCTGGAACACGCTTTACGAATTTCGTAACAGACACACACACACACACACACACACACACACACACACACACACACACACACACACACACACACACACACACACACACACACACACACACACACACACACACACACACACACACACACAAAGTCACGTAAACATCCTTAGCCCGTTATTATAAGTAATAGTCTGCATAGCACAGTGGGTTTCAATGTCATTATTGCGGGGATGAGTAAAGCATACGGAAAGTGGGACCAGTGCGAGCCTCTGCAAAGCAGAGGTGACGCACTGGTCCCACTTTCCATATGCTAATCATAACTTATAATAACGGGCTAAGGGTTGTTTACGTTTGTGTGTGTGTCTGAATCTCTGTCTGTCACGAAATTCATGGAGCGAGTTCCAATGAATTTCTTGAGCTCACTCAAATGCGAGTCCACTGTACAAAAGCATGAGCGGATCCGTTGTGTGGATCCCTCAAAAAATGCGCGTCAGTCGGATCCACTTGGCTTTTGGTCAGTAAAATTGCGCCTGTAGCACAACTTTTTGCAAGGTCACGGATTGTTCGACAAGTTAATGTGCAAAGGATGGACTTTAGCTCAAAAAATTGAGCTAAAGTTCATTAGTTTGCAAAAACGGGCCAAAAAGATTTGGTTGCGTAAATGTATACCTTGCCAAGGTTTTACCCGATCACTTGAAAAGATTTTTGCACAGAGATGTAGCCCACGGTGACATTGTATCTTATGGCAAATGCCAAGCCGTGAAAACTCCAAAAACCGATTCAAATCAACATTTGTTCCTTTGGGAGAAGTTTCATTCACGCGAAATTACCGATCTCATATGGAAAAGCTTTTAGAATGAATAGTTGTTTACAAAGCATTCGTGATAGTAGGCATAGCGCGGTGAGTTTCATTGTCACTTTTGTGCGGGAATGAGTAAAGCATCAGAAAGTAGGGCAGTGCGAGCCTCTGCGAAGCAGAGGTGACGCACTGGTAAGTAATAACTGAAGATTAGAAGAAGCATGGAAGTAAGTCTAGTAGGCATAATTATGAAAACTATAATAACTGGGGCTATCGAGGCTCAGTGAAACTTCGCGAGTGTACAGGATACTGCTCTATCTCACCTTATCGAATTAAATAAGATCCGGCTGAAACTAGGGTTGTAATCGATGTCTTGAGCCATCAAGGTATCTCCCAGTTCAAAGTCATTGTGAGCAGTACAAAACATCACAATAGCATCACACCATTCTGCAGACAATCATCGGTGTGGAGGGCAAGGTTTGCATTGGAATCGGGAGTGAAAATCAACGGCTGTGGCTACACCACCTTTGTTTTGCTGGTGACAATCCTAATTACGCCAAACACATGCAAGTGGAATGAATGTGGGCTGCGGCTGAAACTGACGAATTTTTTGAAAAGAAACGAACGGGTTCCTGATTATCCCTGCACGGAATGAATGAGCGACACATTGAAATGCACTAGTCATACCCATCTAGAGAGGCTAATCAATATGATGAACAACCTAGCTCTGGAACTGAGAATAAACGAGCAGTGTGGAAGTGTGCAAGACAGTTGGGATGGAGAAGACCAAGAACTCGCGGCTCCGCGCCCATCTCTTTTCAACACGACGGTTCTTCATGCTTCGAGTACATCAAAAAGACGGCAATGAGGAGGTAAAATGAACGCGCGGTGAACATCAACAAACGCGGCTTTGGAGAATGTGCTATCATTATCATTACTTATAATAACGGGCTAAGGATGATTACGTGACTTTGTGTGTGTGTGTGTGTGTGTGTGTGTGTGTGTGTGTATGTGTGTGTGTGTGTGTGTTTGTGTGTGTGTGTGTGTGTGTGTGTGTGTGTGTGTGTGTTACGAAATTCGTAGAGCGTGTTCCAGCCAACCTCCTGGGTTCAAATTTTGCACAGTGCATGCTATCCGCACGAGAGTCCAACATGCAAAAGCACGAGCAGATTCGTTGAGTGGATCCCTCAAAAACTGCGCGTCAAACGGATCCACTTTGCGTTTGGGTCGCAAATTTGGGCCCGTAATTGCACTTTTTACAGAGTCGCGGATGTTTGTGCCAAGTAAATGTGCAAGCCATTAACTTAGGTCCAAAAAAGTAATCAAATGTCCATTACTTTACAAAAACGGCGCCAAAAAGTATTGGTTGCTTAAATGTTCAATTTGCCAAGGTTTTATCACAGCTTTTGACGAGATTTTTGCACAAAGATGTAGCTCACGGTGACTGCTGTTCTTATTGCAACTGTCATGACCACGGGAAAATCAAAAACCTATAAAAATTTGCGTTTGTTTTCCTGCAAAAAGTCTCATCCACGCGAAATCACCGATTTCACATAAAAAAGCTTTCGGAATGAGTAGTTGTTTACATTTTGTTCATGATAGTCAGCATTGCTCGGTGAGTTCCAATGCCATCATTGTGCGAGAATGAGTAGGGCCTAGATAGTGGAGCCAGTGCGAGCCTCTGCAAAGCAGAGGTGGCGCACTGGTAATAATAATAACGGGCTATGGTTGTTTGAATCTTTTGGTGTGTGTCTGTCTATCCTTTTCGAAATTCGTAGAGCAGGTTTTAGCCACGTCGTGAGCTCAAATTTTAGCGCATGCTAGCAGCATGGAAGTCCCTCAAGCAAAAGCGCGAGCGGATCCGTTGAGTGGATCCCTCAAAAACTGCTCATCAAATGGATCCACTTAATTTCTGATCAGCAGAACTGGGCCTGTAGCATCACTTTTTGCAAGGTCATAGATACGTTTGACAAGTATATAATTGTGCAAGCCATGGACTTTGGCCCAAAGAATGACCAAAAGTCTATTACTTTACAAAATGGCGCCAAAAAGAATTGGCTGTGTAAAAGTTAAATTCGCCAAGATTTTACCTGATCATTTGTGAAGATTTTTGCACAGAGAGTGGCCCACGGATTATTGTCCTTAAAGGCGGTGTCCGGGCAAAAACTCGATTTTGAGATTTTATGCTTATACGGGCCTATTCGCCATGCTGAATCCGAAAATCTACACTGGAATGCGCGAAAACGGCGAAAAACGGCTCTAACACAGGAGGGAAGCAGGTGGGCGGAGTCCTCCCCACTGTGAATTTGCAGTCCCAGCTTCTAGAACGATTTTCCCAATTCCCCTATCGCCCTGAGATCTCTACCGGCCAGGTGCGAATGCATGACATGAAATCGGAACCGAGAAGATCGCTCTGGAAGCTGGGAGCGTGAATTCACAGTGGGGAGGGCCCCGCCCACTTGCTGATTTACCTCCCATGTTAGAGCCTTTTTTCGCCGTTTTCGCGCTCTCCAATGTGCATTTCCGGATTCAGCGTAGCGAATAGGCCCGGCTAAGCAAAAAACCTCAAGATCGAGTTTTTGCCCGGACACTGCCTTTAAGGCGACTGCCAAGCCATGAAAAATTCAAAAAGCAATTTAAATTTGCATTTGTTCTTCTGGGGAAGTTCCATCCATGCGAAATTACCGATCTCACATTAAAAAGCCTTAGAATGAGTACTTGTTTACAAAACATTCGTGATAGTCTGCATAGCGCGGTGAGTTCCGATATCATTATTGAGGGAATGAGTAAGGCACACAAATAGTGGGACCAGTGCGAGCCTCTGCACTGGTACTATATAATTGAAATGGAAGAAACTAGCAGCAAAACGGCGCTAATCGAAATGCCAGAGAAGCAGGCTGGGGTGTCACTGTGATGTGGTTAAGGTAAATAGTGTAGGGCTCAGGATCACGTATGGAAGGACTTTGTCTCGGATAGGGGGGGGGGGAGGGGAGGAACTTACTTGGCACCTTCCTCATACCATACTCGCTTACCACATTTGATTTCATTGTAAAGAAGGCTTCAAAATGAGATGTGAAAATTAGCTGAAAAAGTCAAAAAAGGGTCTCAAAGTCCGAACTTCAAGTATTTCAAGCTTATTCCTGCAAGAACATCACTGGATTGCATACATCACGGATTTGAGCAAGAGTTATTAAGAGATTTATTAGAAGACTTGTTGGGCTGTCTGAGTAGAGCATTGATTTCTCTACTGTTTTTTTAAGTTTGCAATTGTGAAGGCAAATAGTGCATTGGCACAGCAATGCAACTATCGTTCCTCTTGTACCACACCCAAGATAGGTAGATGTTTTATCCGAGGCTACTTTGGATTTCGCCAAATTTGTCGTGATGTGCTATTACTTGATCATTTTTGTAATATTGAAATTGGCGTAACGGTGCTAACGACCAACTTTCTCCAAATGTTAACTCTTTGCACTTGAGCAGAATGAAAAAAAAAACCACCAAAATGCAGTTCAATGAGAGAACAATTGAAGCGGTCGCTGGATATTCTCGACCAAATTGTCAAATCTTTGACTAAACGTCCTTATCTATGCCTGCCGTGACTTCGGAAAATTGCCTGCATCAAAAGTCTAATATTCGTGATCAGCATTCTAGCGATAAGATCTGAAGGCTTTGACCTCAGACACTGAAGCAAACTTTGTATAAGAATCTGCATAAAACTCTGAAGCATATTCTCATTTTAGCTCGCTTTTTTCTTGAGTTGCACATTTCCTCTCATATCTCTTCGAAGCTTAGATAAACGGACCTGATAGTACCCCATTTAACAACTAGCACAGAAGAAACGCAAATAGAAATGAGAGACATCGTGAAACGAGAAATTGTTTTCGTTCTTGATATTATCACAAACCTTACGATGAACTCATCTAACAAGGGAAGGCACCTAACTTAGGCTTGCCTTTCGAAAAATGACGCGTATATCCGAAATCAGCTGATTTCAAATACATATGCTGTCCGTAGCTGCGAAGCATTGTTCTGAAGCGAGTTATGAGCTTTTTACTGTGTCGTTGACCTTGATCTATAGTAACTGGATATGGAAAGAAGGCCTTTAGATAAAAATTGACCCAAAAGGGGTGGAAAATTGAAATAACATCAAGTTGAGTCATTTGGCTTTCATAATATTGAACCACTACCTAGATGATGATACCTTAGCATACCTAAGTCGGTCAACACGCAAACTTTGCTTAGGAAAAAGCACCTCTCTTCAGGGTAATGCTTCGCAGCTATTAAAAGCAAATTTGAAATGAGCTTTTCAAGCTGATTCCAAGTATACGTGTCGCTCCTTGAAAGGCCGGCCTGAGTTGGGCGCCTCTCCCTGTAAGTACTGATATGAGGGGAAAATTCGACATTTGAAAAGGACGTAAACTCTTTCTACTCAGAGTCGAATGCGTGAACGGATAAGGAGTCAAGACATGCAACTTCGAGTCAAGAAGATAAGTGTAAAGGGAATTATGGACCTGCTGCAGATATATGCCTGTCCTGCGGAGCTTCCGAATCACTTGAGCTTGGAAAAACTCATATTCCGCCTATATACGGTAGGGCTAGCTGATTTAACAAGACAGCAGCTCATTTTCTCACAGAGTGTCATCACTAAGATTATACTATACTTTTAGAATAGAAGACGGTCTCTTCGCACGGCGTCACTGGTGATTAGTCTCAGCACATCGCTACCGCAGAAAACCTCTGCTTTGCCTTAGACCATACATTCGATAGTCTAGAGACAGGCTAACACGTACGAAATTATATATTAGGTTGTGTAATAAGTTCTGTCCCATTTTTTCTTTCGTTTTTTTTCACAATATTTTGTGCGATGCTCTAATTGTTTATATGCATTTGAAAGCTCTAAGCATTCTCTACTAAAACATTCATCTCGGTTTTCTACATCAGACGACTTGGAAAAGCTTTACTGCGTCAAATTTGGAAAACCAAACGGGGAAAAAGTCCATTTTCGACAACTACGTTACGTCGCCCTCCTAATTAGTCAGAATGCTTAGGAATAAGCTCGAAGAATTTGCTACACGTAAGCAAAGAACGCTCTAGCTTCTACTGGGCTTTAAAAGTGCTGAAACTTTTAAAAAATCGTTTTTGTAGACTTTAGAAAAGTCTTCTTTTCAACGCCTTTTCAACGTTGGTGTTGGGCATCATCTGAAGGCATCCTGAGGGAAGACGGAAGGCGGATCATCTAGAAAAGACAGAAAGGATGGTTTATGGCTTCATAATCATCGATTCGTAGGTTAAATACTCATAATTCGAATTTTGGGACCCACACAGCTTGGGTACGCGAGACGGCGAATATCGCCGTAACAAAGTCTTGCCTTGCCGACTTTTGAAAAAATGTCATTAAATAGCCGGTGTAAGGAAGGTAACATGCGCAAACAGTTATAGAGTAAGTGTAAAAGTCTAGTAGATTGTTTTGGTTGTTGTCAAGCTTGTTTAATAAGTTTTACCAATAAAAATCGAGAAAACTTTGCAGGAAAAAAGATGTCGAAATTTGATTTTTCGGCTCTTTGGATTTTTTGTTTCAATGATAGAAATGTTCTTCAGTTTCCTGCTATGTTGGAGAATGATGCATATGAATCTGCAGAGCAGACTTAGAGCTTTCAAAAGCATATACACTTTATCTCAAATATATTCAATGTTGTCAAGAAAAAACTAAAACAAAAAATGGGACAGAACTTATTACACGACCTAATATATACTAGCTGGTGGCCCCGGTCTCACCCGAGACTTCAAGTTAGTTAAGCCAACAGAACTTGTAAACTTACGCCTTTAGATTTCTTCTAACATGCGCATAAAGCGCTATTAGACTAATTGCCGCACCCTTACCAACTTTAAGACTGAAATGGACTTTACCGCCCCTGCTTACATGCTTATATGTAAAAAATGATAAATGATCGGTGCCATGATGGTCCTTCATTTTCTTAGGTTTGAGTAATCAAATCAATAAATCGATAGAATGGCCCGGCGAATCGCCGCGGAAAGTAGCTCTAAACCACCGCCGGGGTCAAAAATATACGTGCGCGAAGTTTCAGCCGGATCGGTTCAGTGGCGCGCGTTTCTATAACGAACGAACAACTAAACGAACATCCTCACAGATATTGCGTTTTATATATATATATATATATATATATAGATAGATATATATATATATTTCAGTGAAAAAAAATATGTAGTTTCGGACAAAGTTCACGCGATTTGATCGTCGCGATTCAATTGCTACAAGGCAACTGTTACGAGTTCATTGCATGCCGATCAGCTTGCATTTCGGTTGTGATAGTTATTCAGCTCGGAATTTTGAATGTAAAATGAAAATGAATGGAAATTGCGGCGATTAAATCGCGACGATCAAATCGCGTGAACTCTGTCCGAGTCTAAAGCTGACATCAAAAGCAAAAGAAACATTCAAACCCGGGTAGAAACGCTACAGTAAGTTTGAAATCTTTCATGCAATTTTCGCTCCACGACCAAGCAATCTACACCACCACGGAGATAAACGAGTGAAAGCTAGTCTTTTCTTTGTGTTTATTTCAAAGTTTACGCCAATTCCAAGCCAATTAATTCTTTGTAATTGTTTTAAAAGCAACCACGTTTCGATAGTGGAGATAAGAAGAAAAATAAACAGGAAAAGAACTAGTCATGAAAACGCAAAATTTTGTTTTTAGTAAGTCGGAATGCACGTCAAAGCCAATCTAATTTTTGATGTGTTCTTTGGACTTTTACCTCATATTTTGTTCGTTCCTATTTTATGGGATGTTGTCTGAATTGTTGAGCTCATGGTTTTAAGCAATAACCGCTCAAGTTCGAAGTCGCTGCGAAAACACCCGAAGGGGGCAAGGTAAAGGAAATGCCGTGATTTTTCGCACAAAAATCGGCCATGATAGAAGAAATAACCTCTAGGACGTTGTTTGCATTACAGACAGAAGCAAATCTACCGAATGCACGGAAAAACCGCGTGAAAATGTTAATTAGAGATCGAAAATTAGTGCCAGATATCTCATTTGAATCAAAATGCGTTTTTGGGACGTTGTCAATGTGAAAGTCGAGATCAAGAGCATCAATATGATATGCAGTTTGCCAGAGTTGGGTTCGAATAACGAAGAAAATGGTATTAGAGTCAAGGGTGAGGCCCGCTTTTGGAGTAGCGAGGTAGCGTGCATCTGATCGTTATGACACGACTAGGAGCACTGACAACATCTCAAGCGTTGAAAATCACTCAGTGACAAGATAAACGTGCATGTGTGACTCTCCGCGCAAGAACTAAGCGTAGTTTTTCGTTTAGAACTCCAATAGCTTTTGTAAACTTTTCAATCTTAGTCTCAAAAAAGTTAGGTGAAGAATGTTGTCCTAATTCTGGTTAAACTTTCAAAAGAACCTTTTTAGCATTGAAAAGCTATGAAAGCGGAATTTCCCGGTTTTGCTGAGAAGATTCAGAGATATTATTCCCTATACTTGCTTCGTTCACATTCGTCCCGTTCTAGTTATGATCACAAAATCCGAGGTTTTGCCCAGGTGGTGAAGGTTGTGTTCTACCATGGCGCTCGAAGTGAAGGTTACGAAAGTACATGGCTTTATGTATTAAGGTTATGGCTTAGACAAAAGCCGCCGCAGGAATGGCGTGGCTGTGATCCTTGTGGAGAATCTCTGACGATGTTACGGTTGTGCCGATCTGTCTACACTCCCTTTACAACATTATTCCACCGCTCCATAACAATTTTCATCTTCCCAGCAGTAAGAATTTACTTTCGCTACGAGTAAGCTCAAAATCTCAATTCAACCGTATCACCCAAGACTCTGATATTTTATCTTCAAATGATAGTTCAAGATTTCCATCCAAAGTATCGTGATTCCCATTCTTTAGCTAGAAAACTGGTGAGTGGCTCTCACTATTTCGATTGTTGGTCACCCTTATCACAGTCAAGCATTGTCTGTTTCAACCAGAAACGCGCTTGGGATAACGTCGACAGCTGCATTAGATCGTGATAGGACTATCTGCCATCATTCTTTCTTTGATGACAAAATGCCAGCGTTGCGGATCCATTTCGAGTGCCTAAGTGTTCGCTCAGGAACTACCTATATATCACTCTGCATGCATAAATATGCCACATTCGGGCTCCGCCTGCGTAGACATCTGCTATAAAGCACGTTTCAATACATTACGGTGCTTCTCAGTTGTTTGTGTAGAATAAGATCGGCGATATAACAGTTTCTTTCTTCATCGTGAAGTTCTCAGTGCAAATAAAAGCAAGATCTTCTCTAGAAAATGACAACGGAAAACAATTACGACAATATGCTCAAACAATTGGAATTAGAGATCGATAACCTTCAAGCTCATTTTAAAAGCGAGGAAAAGCGGGTAAGCTAGCTCTAATGAACTATGCAGTAAAATATCCATGAAATGAGTAATCTCATTGAAGTGTAATGAGGAACCTGATTATTTCTTTGCAGATTTTCACAGAAATAGGCAATCTAGTAGGAACACAAAAGCCACCTCTATCAGAATCGGTAAGCTTATGGAGGAAAAATCTTGTCCTCCATAGTCACAGTAATTTTAGGACATGAAAACTGCAAGAGGGCCTGAAAAGGCAGAAGAGAAGATAGGAGATGTGAGTTACAAAGGGAGAACTGCGGTTTTTTGAACAAAATGAAATGAATGCTTCAAGAGGCTTGTTGAAGACATCGACAAACAATTGGGCGGCTTCTATGGTAGTATCGAACTTCGAGATGCGTTGAAAGAAGTTTGTGACCTTTTTTCGATACGACGTTTGATCATTGGACGAGTTTCAGTCCCAGAAACGAATGGATGCTGTTGTTGAAGTGCTAAATAGGGTGAAGGAATACGTTCGTTGTCACTTCGTACGGCTCGAGATAGCACATCTTCTGCAAAACATCGAGACTCTGAGAAAAGTATTCTTACGTATGGTCAGTCTTTTTAGCATTCAGGTTGTAAGGCTATTAGTGCACATAAAATGGAGCCCAAAGTCGACATATACAGGGTGTCCCAAAAAATTGTTTAGAACGTTTGATCGTTAATATCTCTCTTCCCAAGAAGTCTTTTGCCTTGCTTCAGGTACCGTTTTGTAGAGCTGGCTTCAACTTAGATTTGCATTATAAAACGAATCACCCATCTCTCTTCATTACTGTAGGATTACGGTAGAAACTTGAAACGTATGGTGTCAACAATATGGAAAAAGCTGCCTTTTCAAAAATTTTCAAAATAATGTGAAAACATGTGTAATAGGGTTTTTATGGACGCTGAGTTCAATGCTAAACTATTCACAAGATTACGAAGCTTTCTAAATGGTTTAATCGCACTTTTTAAGAACATTGAAAAAATGGCCGCTACCTCTTACCTGGCATAACTCTTCAATGAAGCATCATAACAAGTTGGGAACTTCACAGTTGTAATCAGCAACTCTAATTAGCCCAGTGTAAAAGTTTTCAGGCTGTTTTGTTTCTTTTTTGAGGCAAAATATGGCCTTTCATGGCTCAAAACCCTCTTTGAAGTTTCTACCGTAATCCTACAGTAATGAAGAGAGATGGGTGATTCGTTTTATAATGCAAATCTAAGATGAAGCCAGCTCTACAAAACGGTACTTGAAGCAAGGCAAAAGACTTCTTGGGAAGAGAGATATTAACGATCAAACGTTCGAAACATTTTTTTGGGACACCCTGTGTATCTTATATACAGACTATTAGCATGGATAAACGTATGTAGGGAAGGTGGGAGAGGCACTCCACGTTTGAGTCGCGAACATTGGTGGGGGGAGGGTGGGGGGATAAGGAGCACAACTTTTTAGTCGTAAATATTGAAGTTTTAAGAGTACGAGTTCGAGTTATAGTAATGGAATATGGTATAGAATGGTATATGTGTTGAACCAAAAGAATTAACTAGGATCCGTCCTCTCTTCACTTCTTCGCCCTTATTATTTCTAAGGGAGGAAAGAAAATATTACCTGCGGCGTCCGTGGCAACACGTTTGCTATCAAAAAGTAAGAAAAAACCCGCAGTAAAATCGTTTAGCTCACGAGGAGAGGATACTTAGTCGAAAGCACCAATCCGGATGAGACATATATCATCTTAAAGCGCTTGAAACGCTAATTCCAAATCTGTAATTTTTAGCTGCGGAGCGATTTTGTAGAAGGAGTCATGAGGGGTGTTCCCCTCTGGGGTTGAGGCGCCCTCCAGCGGTCTCCCCTTATCTATGAACACTGCAGAGGAGTATCAGCTGGCGGCAGTTGGCCTAATGGTAAGTAACTTGAATGAAGATTACAGAAAGGATTATAATACTCGTATTACTTTGGTTTTTTTAACACTTCTAACTTCGATTACCATCAATATCATCAGAAATTTCAGGCTTTAGGGCTCTGAAGCCATTTAGAAGAAGCTCAATGTGGCAAAAACTGCGATACATTTGCATGCCAAGGGGACTAAAACCTTGACACTCTCCTTATCAAGCACGTTACTTACCACCAGGTCAGCTGCCACCAGTTGGTACTCCTCTGAAGTGCTCATAGACAAGGGGAGACCTACTGGAAGGCGCCTCAACCCAGAAGGAAACAGACCCTCATAACTCCCTCTACAAAACCGCTCCGCAGCTAGAAAGTGCGGATTTGGAATCAGCGTTTCAAGCGCTTTAAGCTAATATATGTCTCATTTGGATTGGTGCTTTCGACTAAGTATCCTCTCCTTGTCAGATGTTCTGAACTGACGGCCTCAGTTGAGGTTCGTAAGGTTGAACTTACGGCGGCCATTCTCTCATGCTATAAAGCAGCGTGATCTGACAGGTGAGAGTCCAAGCAGATATCATTTACCTCACCAAACCATTCACTTTTGTGAAAGCAAAGTCCGTTTTGAGATAACTATACGGATACAGAGTCTAAACGATGAGATCAAGAGGAAAATTTCGTAAGGTGCTCGTGAGTATCCTACGGGACATGTATTGTGACAACTGCGGAAAGGCTCAGCGCAAAACTTCGCAATTCTGGGGGTCTAGGGCCACAAACGATAAGTGAGTAGCCGATTGCAGCAATGATGGAAAATAAGGTTTTTCTTGCAGAAGAATTTTCCATTCAAATTCTAGTTTTTCAGGAAATTGTTTGGAATAAAAATTTGCCTCTCTCTTTATCTTCAAAACTTGTGTTTTTTCTTTCGTGGAAATTAATGCTAAAATGTGACAAATTCGTTTAGCTGTGTGTCCGCTAATCCGCATGACCGCTACAACGAACTGGCGATAACTGTTGAAATTGGCACTAACTGGACTTGAATCATGCCCCTGCTGTTCGCACGCAATTCTTTATCCATTTAACCTGCACTTGTCAAAAATGTTCTATCTGTCAAAAATGTTCTGTCTTTGAAACACTCTTATCCACAAAGCTATGCGCATAATTCAAAAGCTTGGTTAATACTGAATTCTGGAGCTGAAGGAACGACTTAGGCCTGATTTGGTCGAGATGTGTTGACGGAGGTCTACTGAGGGCCAAAATTACATCCGTTCTAATAACGATGTAGAGGTAACACAAGTAAATCGTTGTTTTTGTAACTTTAGTGTTTTAGAGAAGTGCTTCCTTCCATATCAAAAGTGTCTATTTAGCTCGACCGCATGGAGATCCCAGACAGCGACGACTTCTTCAACGACTCGTTTAGCGAATCACTGACTGCAATATCGAACGGTGGTTCTTTCAACGACGACAAGCCAAATAAGCCAAAACAGAAAGAGGAGAAACAGGCTTCTGCCACTGCCACCGCCGTGGAACAGAAAAGTGCTGAAAAATGACAGCTTTTGATTGCAATAAATATTTTTGTTTCTGAATCCGAGCCATGAAAACTTGCTATAGTAGAATTCGGCGCTGTGATCAAGTCCTTCGTAAGCGCTAAAGCAACCAAAAAATGCAAAGTGCCACACATTGCTTTTAAATTTTTCTTCTTCTACTACTATTGAATAAGCTCGACTCCAACCTGAGGAAATGACAAAGTTTTCCAAAAGGTTTGACTAAACACAACAATGTTTATCTGCTTTACTTACTATACTACGAGGCATTTAGTCTTGCAAGTTGATAAAACATCGTTGCGGATGTCCTCCTCCACGCCTTCCCCAAATTTACCTAGTTTTGATTAGCCAGCTGCTGATTTGGGGAATAGCGAATAATGCTGAGGTTCTTCTGACGTTGGCCGGTCAATTTAATAGGATTTCATGCAAATTGACAAGATGGACGCTAGATGGGTGCCAACGCCAATGCCAACGTCTCCAGTGTTTCGTGGTGGGTAATTCTCACTAGCAAAAATGAGGGCTTCATCGCACAATGGTTTCTTTTCTGGCCTTTGTCTCCAGCAGAGCGATATGACTTGACAAATGATGTGCACTGCAGCGTCAAGAAGGCGTGACAGTAGGGGTTCGTGGAGGCTGTCCTGCGTTGTAGGTTGAGTACAGACGGTCTCCATGACATGTCCTCCCAGACGCGCCGTTTTTCTGCTCCAGCATGCGTGCTGAGCAACGACATTGGTCTTGTTTACCATCAGGCGCCGTAGGTCAATTAAATGTGGAATTTTTTTCTTTCCTTCTTGATGAACGAGTAAGAGAATTTTCCCGACAAGAGTAGATTTGTTAGGCAGTGCTTTTCCATTCCATGGACAACCGCCAACCTTGAGATGTGGAGTTAACACCTCTACGATTCTTACCGAATCGAATCTGACCTGATCCGCTCTTGGCTAGGCATCCGACCTAAACGGGGAACGTTGAGCTCCTTCTGGCTTGGGAGACCATGCCATGATGTACATACGGCTGGACTTGCAGTTCGACATCCTAAGATTTCCATGCCACGTTGAAGCGGCGGACCATTATGTGTTGTTCATGTGCAGAAGAGGTGCGCTTACAAAGCCGTATGACTTTTTCTTGGAGTATTTGCAAAGACTTATCAAGTATCAGATTGAAAAGAAAATGATATCCCATGATCGACTGTCCATGAACCTTGGCGTTTTCAAGATAATTCTTTTTGACTGCGTGAGCCGGTCCAAGATTGGTAACAATTTATTCGGCTAACGTTTCGGCTTTTTCGCCTTCGTCAGAGCCTGGAAGTGAGGAACATTTTGAGACTTGTCTTCAAAACGCTCTATCATGCCAGATTAAACAATAAGCTGGACAAGCGTGCCGAAACGGAACAGCTCACCTTTACAAACTTTACAGGGCGACCACCACTCACCGCTGGGCGTTAGAGATGGAATGATAAGCCTCGGGCTATGCGGATATAGGTCAGAACCGACATAGCTCCACAAATGGCGCGAGCTCGTTTGTGATGGCTACACATTCCTCTTTTCTGTTCATCTGAGGATTTCTAGCCGAAATCCTGCACGCTTTCAAGGTTTTTCGCGCCGCCACTTCAGGTTGTTTTGACAGAAACGTTAGAAACGAAACGTTAGTCGAATAAATTGTTACCAATTTTGGACTGGCTCAAGCAGTCAAAAAGAAAAGAAAATGTTTCGAAAGAAAAAATGAAAGAAAAAGAAGAATGGCTTTTCCAGCTAAAATTGGTATTTCTCAGGAACTATAGTACACCCAAATCCAAAATTCTATGGTCAAGGTCTCAGAGGTTCGTAGTACACAACCGATAGGTGGGAGTACAGGGCTAGTAGGGGCGGAGTTTGCCATTTTTTTCGCTTTTCTCTTAGTTTTTGATTGCGGAAAAAATATAGCAAGTGCAAATATGGATATGTTTATGTGTCTGCTACATGCAGGAGCAAGTGCGAGATTTACGGGATTTTTTGGAAGATCCGATTTCTGGCACTATAATTTGCTCTCGTGTTTTGGCTTTGAACTTTTCGTAAACCACGGCTTCGGAAATGCTCTAACAATGAGTTCATGTTATGGAGCTTGTTTTGCTCTATTAATGCCTTTCACGTATTTTTCGGATTCTTCCTGTTGCTTTGCTGTAAACAACGAAATTCTTTTTTTAATGCATAGAAGAAAATTAACCATTCTTCACTTATTCTTTTCTGTAGGGTAGTGAGAGCTGCAAGCAGCGTCGCTTATATATATGTCGGCACTTAGGAAGTGGGAGAGATGCGATTCCACCGTGACCAGAGGTGCGATAGGTGGAGCCGGGCCCCCAAAAGTGAAGGTGCTTCCAGTTGCCACTGGCCGGCCAAAAGTGAAGGTGGTAGTGCCGGACACTCATCTCCCGAAAACGTCGACCGGGGGGGGGGGGGGAGGGGAGAGGGAGCGTTAACGTCGACTGAGCCTATCCTTCCAGGTCGTTGCCGCCAGTGCGCGGAAAAAAGCAAAACAAACGCAAAAAAGATTATTGAAAGCATATCTTTATGTATACGGCGGCATATATGTACATCTAAAATAAACGTGTTTAGTAAATAGTGTGTTTCGAAGTGAAAGTCAGCGAAACTTCACAGACTTTATCAAGTAAATTTTGTTATGACGTACTGCAAGAAAAAGGTCGATCCAGGCAGTAACCGCCGAGAACCAGAATTTCGAATGATAAAATAATGAAAAATCGTGAATAATCATTCCACTGTTACAAATCTGCTGGCTGAAGACCTCCACAGTTGCGACTTCATAGGTTTTGAAGGGTAAGTGTTGTTCTACCAGACCGTAAAAGAATCAGTTTGATTTGAGGAGTGCCCGCCGAGAACGAGAATTTTGAATAATTTTAAAAATTTTCTCGCTTTTAGATTGCTTAATGACAACTGACATTTAAACTCTTATAGATCCGGACTTTGAAGGTGTGTAATGTTGCGACTTCACAAATTTTGTAGGGCGATGTTTGTCCTATCAGAATATGTCTTAGGCTGCGTTCATACTGATTCCCATGTTCTGGAACTGTTCCCGCACAGTTCTCGCACTGTGCTGAAACTGTGCGGGAACTGTGCGGGAACTGTGCGGGAACAGTTCCAGAACTGTGCTGCATGCGCTGCAGCCGCCCCGCACCGTTTTGAACGGCGGGAGTTGGAGAATTTTGACCGTTCTCAACGGTTTTTCTTCCAGATTTCGCTCATTTTGGCCTTAATCCTCCACCCCGCTTCCCTTTTTGATCAGCAGCACTGCGAACTCGAAGCGGGGTTGAAGAATGAGCGCTTTTCTGCGCCGTGTATTCGGAAAGATGGGCTATCGTGCGATTGTTCATTCTGTCTTCTTGTTTTTTGCTCAAAACTACTTCATTTGTTCCAGGAAGCGGCTGCCCAGTTTCCATAGCCATCTGCCACGAATTAGGGAGTAGGAGAAATCCTGAAATTGCATGAGTTGGAACTTGTCTCTTGTTTTGATGATTTTGGGCGTTCCCAGCCTTTTTCGTTTTTCCAAGTCTTTGCTTCTCCGTTCTTTCTTCTACTCCGCTTCTCCTAGTGATGAGAAAAGCTGTGAATTTGAAGCTGGGTTGAGGACTGAACGCTGTTCTGCTCCATGTATCCGGGAATATGGGTCTTAGTGCGCTCGTCCATTCTCTCATCGCTATTTTTGTTCAGACCTACTTCATGTGTACTAACAAGTCGCTGCGTAGTCTTGCATCTGTATTGGAATTGAGATAGACAAGTCTCTAGAACACATGAAGTAGGCCTGAACAAAAATGGCAGAGAAGATGGACGAGCGCACGAAGTCCATCTTCCCGGATACATGAAGCAGAACAGCGTTCAGTTCTCAACCCCGCTTCAAATTCACAGCTTTTCTCATCACTAGGAGAAGCGGGGTAGAAGAAAGAACGGAGAAGCAACGACATGGAAAAACGAACAAGGCTAAGGACGCTCAAAATCATGAAAAACAAGAGACAAGTCCCAACTCATGCAATTTCAGGATTTCTCCTACTCCCTAATTCGTGGCAGATGCCTATGGAAACTGGGCAGCCGCTTCCTGGGACAAACGAAGTAGTTTTGAGCGAAAAACACGAAGACAGAATGAACAATCGGACGATAGCCCATCTTTCCGAATGCACGGCGAAGAAAAGCGCTCATTCTTCAACCCCGCTTCGAGTTCGAAGTTCTGCTTATCAAAAAGAGAAGCGGGGTGGAGGAATAAGGCCAAAATGAGCAAAATCTGGAAGAAAAACCGTTGAGAACGGTCAAATTCTCCAACTCCCACCGTTCAGAACGGTGCGGGGCGGCTGCAGCGCATGCAGCACAGTTCTGGAACTGTTCCCGCACAGTTCCCGCACAGTTCCAGCACAGTGCGAGAACTGTGCGGGAACAGTTCCAGAACATGGGAATCAGTATGAACCCAGCCTTAGCTGTATCGATCCATTGAAACATCGCCGAGATCCAGGCTCTTAAAAAAGCAGGTAAAAACCTTTTTTCAGCTCATAACTTCTTCAGAATTGCATAATTCACGTTGCGACTTCATAGACTGGATTCTCCTCATCATGAGCTTTCAAATGATTTTAATATGTGGAGGATTCAGGCCTCCCACGGCATATGCCCGGGGGTGGAGTACCTCTCTTCACTAATTCTTCATTGGCGGCCTCCCGCCAATACATTGAAATGGGCGGGGTGGATAATTAGTAAGGAGGAATACTCCACTCCGGGTTAGAGCCGCAAAAACATTGAATACCCCACATATTATAAATCATTTGAAAGTTGTTGATGAGGAGAATCCAATCTATGAAGTCGCAACATGAATTATGCAATTCTGAAGAAGTTATGAGCTGAAAAACGGTTTTTTATCTGCTTTTTTAAGAGCCTGGATCTCGGCGATGTTTCAGTGGATCAATACAGCTAAAACATATTCTGATAGGACAAACTTCACCCTACAAAACCTGTGAAGTCGCAACATTACACACCTTCAAAGTCCGGATTTA